ACCTTGACATTTGCCTTCTCTAGTTTGGTAAGGACATCACCGCCTTCGTCTTGGGGGGTCAAATTCAACACCTTCCCAAACACAGTACTGGCACCATCAAGATGCGGCGCCGGTACGAACGAAATGAAGAATTGACTCCCGTTGATGGTTGCGCCCGTTGCGCCCTGAGAGCCGGGTGCAGACCTGTCCTTCACCGGACGAGATGCCATAGACAGAATGCCCCGCGCGTTGTGTCGTAGAGACGGGAGGTGGATTTCTTGGTTCATTGCTGCCGGGTGGTAGATCGATGTGCCGCCTTTCGGAATCTCGAAATCGAGCATTGGTTTCGTACTTGTTTGATGCGCGGCGGGGCCGAGAGAGATGTCTCCGCCCTGGACCATGAATCCCGGGATGAGGCGGTGGAACGGGGTGTCATTGTATGCGCCGCATGCGCAGAGGGCGAGGAAGTTCTCTGCGGTTTGGGGTACTGCTTCGCAGAAAAGCTCGACCTTGAGATCGCCTTGTGTGGTATGTAACTGTTGAAGCCCTAGTTAGCGTCATGTCATAGAATTGCGAGCTGCAGAGCGACCCTAAAGCTTTATTTGCAGGTAAACTTACTGTAACAGACATATTGAGGGGGTTTTACGAGGTGATACTGAAGTGCAAGAGGACCAGATGCGGCGTTGAGGTTCCCCGTGCCCCAAGCCCAGGACCCGTTGTGGCGCTTAGTCATATTTTTCTTATCGATGCGCCGGGCGATTGCAGATGTTTGGTTGTCAGTCCGATCCCTTCAATTCAGACACAGTTTGCTGAATTTGAAATCTAAATACGCTGAAAGGCTCTCAGGAACTACGAGTTTTGATTTTTGACTTCTTAACTATTCTTGTCTCGCCTTAGCACAGCTCTATCCTACCTGTTTGGGTCCTTCCTCAGGCCTTGATCCACAGCATCAAGAACAATGAACAACCGGCCGGTGGAACAGGCGTTGAGCACATTGGTGCCAACTCATGCCAATGACCTGCCACAAGAGCTACTCAGCTATGCAATGTCACTGGTGGCACAATCCCGGAGCTTCTCAAGCAGTTTAAAGCCGGAGGAGGAAATCGCTCGACCATATGCCTGCGCGGAAATCGCTTGCAAAAGGTGTGCTACAGGTCCTGACTTAAGTCTTCATATGGTTGGCTTGGTTGTTAGCTGCTAATTGCTTGTGTCTGACTTTTATAGGTTGACCCGGACTCTTAAGCTTCCTCCGTTACTCGGACATCCGCCCTGTCCTCCGCGCATTTACAAAAAACTTTATTCATACCTCGACCGATCTCTCGCAGCAAGCTCGGCTGGTCTCAAGCGCTCAACAAATGGATCGGCTCCCGGAACACCCTCACGCGCCGGTTCAGCGCAGACCACGCCGACGAAGAGCGCGGTAGCTAGGAACACTCCTTCCAAGGCAGTAGCACCAACGCCACGAGGACTACAAAATACGCCTTCGAAGTCTACACCCTTGAAACGAAGTATGAGCACGGCAAACCGACTGGAAAGTCCCTCGAAATCGGCAAGAAAGGCTACAGACTCCCGACCTAAGGATGTTACTGGGTCAACAATCATTCCAGATGCCCCGGCTTGGGTAATGACAGCCATCCGGACTATATGCAAAATTCTCTCGATGCCTGCCCCCCGCACAAATACCTGGTCTAGGCCTCCAATCTCGAGGACCCTACCTCCGCATATCTTTTCTGGCGTGTCAACCGTCCTTTACATTACGTCGAGCATGTCCAACGACGAACCAGGATGGGACCGGGAGAGCTTGGATTTCCTGGAGCCTATTGTGTCTATCAATGGATCTGATAAGGATGATGATTTCAAAGAATTAGTCTACGCCATGGCTGTGGCTGTATACTTCCTTGTGCTCGCCCGTCGGCGTAACCCTGGCCCAGATGCAGAAGGTGACATCGAAGCGCAGAAGATGGACAAGAAGACTTTTATTGAAATGCGCCAGACGGCATTGAACAGCCTTGGCCTCAAGGCTAATGACCGGCGGCATCGCGATGATGTTGACCAATGGATCACTCTTATCATGGAGCAAGGGTGGGCCAACGGCCAGGAATGGTTTGAGAATATCCCCTATGCTGGACAACTCTATGGCGAAGATGAGGAAGGCAGGTCTTACCAAGACCTGGACGAAGAGGATGCGACACTTAGGGGCGTTAGGCCGCCTAAACGCTCAGCGGCTGGGGGTGGGGCTCGCGCCTCGGAGTCAGATCATGCTCCACGGGCCGGTCTTTTGCCTGGTCTGGGGACAATGATGCAGGATCGAGTTGACTGGCTGAGTGATGATCGTCAAGAGGATTATGTGAATTGGAAAGCGGATATCATGGCCCGCATTGAAGGTGCAACTGCTTGATTGCGGTCATGCGATGAGACATTATTCAAAAGGGGACGCAGCCTACTACTTAATTGATACCCTAAGATATGATTCAACATGTAATTTCTATATTCATCCTCCATAAGCCAAAAAGAGATCAGCTTCACGGTGTCTATGTACTGATTGTATGCTCCTTTGCTCCAAAGCAACCCAATGTCCCAAGTCATCATTTTGGCAACCCAACTCCATGCGCTGTCAATGACGCCAAAACCAATAACCGCCCATCTCAGTACCAGATGCTCCTTGTCCGGTGATGAGGAATAGTCTCATTTTTCTCTGCCTCCAGGCTCTTCATCGTGTCGTACAAGAAAAAGTCGATAAGGATCGCATTGATGCCACATGTCTTTCGCGGTTTCTCTACAATCTTCATATTCTCATCCGACTCATCTGACCCTTCAGTTTCGTGGTTCTCAATGTCAATATCCTTAAGAGGAAGCTTTTGGCGGTTCATTTTGACCTCGGGGTGTTGTTTTTCAATCTCTCGTTTGATCAATTCAACACACCAGATACTCGTTCCACGAAGCTCAATCTCCCAGTTTGAGCCGGGCTCGATGGGCTTCAAGTCGCGGATATGGTTTTCCAGTTTAGGTGCGTACCGAAGACAGTTCAGCTGGTGTAGCATCTGCGGGATGCGGTAGTCTAGGATATAGGGTTAGGATGGACTCAAAGAAGTGATGGGGATTGCAGAAAACATACCTGCAAACATAGTGATCTTGCCAATGTCGTGGAATTCACCAAAGTCTTCGCCATTAAAACAGGCCCAGAGATCGGCGACTAGGATTTGAGCACGTTTGTAGAGTCGAACTCTCTTCCCGTGGAAGATAGCCTCGTCGCGGAAGCAGGAAAAGCTCTCTGTAAGTATATTGACCAGTCCTGCGGCGGATAGGTTGGCACTATCGATGCAGTTGACGAAGCTACCGCCGAATTCCTATGTCCGGTTAGTATAACCCACTTAGCCAAGGTAGGAGGAGATGATACCTCGCAAAGAACCTCGCCTGCTTCCCGTAGACACTGCACTCGTTCTTTGAACATGGGAATCTCTCCGTCTGTTGCGGATCGGAATACATGTCTGAGTAGCTCGTCTGTGCACCTCTCTTCGTCCACCCAGAAGTCGGGTGTTGTGATTGGAATATCTGAAGTTGGGAGTAAGCACTCGTCATCCCAGTAGTAGAGTTTAATCGTGGAACTGACCTTCATCAAGAGCTCTTTGTAGTGCAGCAACCAGACTCCAATAACCAGTCCATAGCTTGCCACGATACTCAATGCAGAAACGCTTTGGCTCCTCCACCTCATCAGACCAAAAACTAAAGTTCAGCAAGTCCATTGTAAAGATGAAATCGACTGTGCTTTCATCTTTGGTCTTGGGGTGCAGTTCGTGCTCTGACCAGGTGTGTGTTGAATACTCTTTCTTCTGCATCATACGCCATATAGTCTCGGCAGCCTCTTTGGTGTGAACAAGGCTGACAGCAATATCAATCGCATTGTCGAAGACATACTGAGCCCCCTCAAGCACTTTGGTCTCTGGTGGGGCATCCTTTGGTCTTTCGCCCATACCGAAATGCTGGCGAAGAAGCTCTACCAACTCAGGGTCGGCTTCATCGTCGGAATTTGCCTCGACTTGACCATTTTTCTGAGCCGGAATTGGTTCTAATGATGGCATGGTGTTTTTCCTTGCTGTTTATCTTGATTGAAAAACAAATGGACAAATTGGAAGATATGGAGTCAGGGGTATCTCGTTTGATACAGGACTCCTGTGGCGAGAAGCTAGACCTGGCAGATATCCCACCCCGACTATTCGAATCTTTTTGAGCCTGCAATCAAGTGATATAAATTACTTGAACAGAGCCGGGCTTTTTTTCTTTCTCGCCACACCGAGATTTCGATCCGATAGCCTCTGGATAGAGTCACCGGTTATGTAAGCAGGCACAATAACTCCAGGGCTAGTTGCAGCCCTTTATGCTCATATTGTGTCTGAAAAGATCTTAGATATGCGCTGTCATGGTGTAGACTAGTGATATTGACTAGTATCTACTGCTGGTGTTCGTCATAAGTACAAGAGAGGTCTGTACGTTATGGTTTATAGTAACACAGGGTCTGCAGGTCTAGAGTACCTGGTACCTGATATAAGAATAAACATGTATGGATAGTTAGCATTATCACTATGAAACTATATGTTTAGCTATTTTATTTTGCGATCAAATCCAAGCTCATCTAGTGTAGAACAAGGCTATCAGGGTGCATATGCGCCCTGTATATTGCCGCATAAATAGCAAAGACACAAAAAAGATTAAAACGGTCATTATATCAGCCAAGGGGTGTATACATATGTATTTTATTCTTAAACACCAAAAAAAATATATAAAAGGAGTATAAAGTGCAAAGTGAAGACAAAGTAAGTGGAAACCCACGTGTGAGGCTCGCAAAGTGCCGTCATCGCCAAACGGTCACTGTTTCCGGCTCAACACTTGTTTCTTTCACTTACTTTACATTTGTCCCCCTTCTTTGTCCTTTTCCCCCTTGCGCAATTCATTTCATACACATCACTACAGAAACTACAACACCACAACACTACAATACCTGCGATCATCATCTACTTCCCGCCATGCGGGATAGCTCTCTTAAGCGCTCCCTCGGAGCGGACCTCACCCGCTCCCTCAAAGAGGTAAGGACAGCCCTGTTGACGTGCAATCCTGGCATCCAAGTGACGCTGGCCTGGAAATCTATTCTGACATTTCTCTCATCACGTATAGTCACGCGTTCTTCTCGTCGGCGCAGGCGGTATCGGCTGCGAGCTACTGAAAAACCTCGTCCTCACCGGGTTCGGCGAAATCCATATCATCGACCTCGATACCATTGATTTGAGCAATCTGAACCGTCAGTTCCTTTTTCGACATGAGCATATCAAGAAATCAAAGGCCCTAGTACGTCCAACCGACCCACCCCGCGCGCTTGCGCCGCTCTCTTACGAATCCCCCGAGTCGAGCGCCGCGCATTCGCATTGTGTGAGCTGTTTAGCGATAGACGATATGAAATACTAAGACATGGACACTTTCATCTAGGTTGCCAAGGAGGTTGCGCAAAAGTTCCGGTCTGACGCGAAGCTCGAGGCCTACCATGCGAACATTATGGATGCTCAGTTTAACATCTCGTGGTTTGAGTCCTTCAATGTCGTATTCAATGCGTTGGACAACATCGCCGCTAGACGACACGTGAACAAGATGTGCCTTGCAGCCAATGTACCCTTGATCGAAAGTGGAACTACAGGCTTCAATGGCCAGGTTCAGGTTATTCAGAAGGTAGGCAGCAAATGTGATGCCTCGGTCTACACATTGAACGTATATTGACTTCCGCATTGTACTAGTCGAAAACAGAGTGCTACGATTGCACCCCGAAACAAACCCCTAAGTCGTTCCCTGTGTGTACGATCCGCAGCAACCCCAGTCAGCCGATTCATTGCATCGTTTGGGCGAAGAGCTTCCTATTACCGTAAGATCTGGCTTCCAATTTGTCAACTTTGAGTGCTCACCTTTGAGCAGGGAACTTTTTGGCAATAGCGAAGACGAGGCACCTGAGGTCGACAACTCAGAAAATGCAGATAACGGTCGGTTCAATTTTACCTATAACTTGGCGCTGAATCTAACACCCGGCTAGCAAATGAAATTGCGGAACTGCGCAAGGAAGCACTGGAGCTCAAAGAGTTACAACAATCGATTGGCACCGAGGAATCCTACCAGAAGGTCTTTGATAAAGTTTTTCGAAAGGACATAATACGATTGCAGGGCATGAAGGAGATGTGGAAGGAAGCGAAGCAACCAGAACCCCTTGACTTTGCTCAACTCGAAGAAGAATCCGCTTCGATTCCCTCGACAATCTCCACGGATGACCAGAAAGTGTGGACATTGGCGGAGAATTTCAGTGTTTTCAAGGATAGGTAGGAACTGTCTGTCGCAGACAGCATACGTTCGATAAACTAACATGCCACAGCTTGAACCGGTTGACCCATCGTCTGAAGCAACTCCAAGAAAATAACCCCCCAGATCAAGACTCTCCAATCCTGACATTCGATAAAGATGACGTGGACACTCTGGACTTCGTTACCGCCACAGCTAATCTACGAGCTGCTATTTTCCACGTTGGACTCAAATCCAAATTCGATGTTAAGCGTGAGTTTATCAAATAAGGATGTACTCTTCAAGACGATCTGTTGACAAAGTTTCTCCAGAGATGGCGGGCAATATCATTCCTGCAATCGCAACCACGAATGCGATGACGGCTGGACTATGTGTTCTTCAGTCAATGAAGGTGTTTCAAAACAACTTGATGCAAGCCAAAATGGTAAATATTGAACAAGGATGCTCATGAATGCCAAAGCTAACAAGCCCTCGCTCTGAAAGATCTTCCTAGAGAGATCCGGTGCTCGTGTGATCAATTCGGACTCACTAAACCCCCCAAACCCCGATTGTGCGGTCTGTTCCCCTGTGGTGGCTCGGGTCGAAGTCGACTCTGAGGTCGCAACCCTTGAACACATCGTCAAAGGCGTTCTCCAGATGGAGCTTGGTTATGACGAAGAGGTTTCCGTTGCTTTTGGCAGTCAACTAATTTACGACCCCGACTTCACCGATAATTTGACGGAAAAGTTGTCCGACCTTGGCATTAAGAATGAGAGCTTTATAACGGTAAAGGACGACAATGAACCAGACACGCGAGTTAATCTCGAGCTAGTGATCGTGGCACGGTACGCGTTGTCCTTTTAAGAATACTGGGCAATATTAACTGACTGATTTGCAGAGATGAACCATCTTCTAAGGAATCCAAGCCTGCAACGATGCAGAAGATGGTCGAAATACCCCTAAAGCCCGCGAAGCCTGCGCAGCCTTCCCCTGATCTTGCAGCAAACGGTGATGCAACTGTGATTGGGAAGCGCAAGCGTGAGGGATCAAGTGACGAACTTGAGCTCAGCAGCCACGATGCCAAACGGCTCGCCAGTGCACCCATTCCTGACCCAAAGAGCATCGAAGCAATCGTTCTTGACGATGATGAGGGTGGTGCAATCACGATCGACGATTAAATGCTGAAAACAGGCTTTCTCATGGTATCTCAAGGTATTACTACCAACCGCCACAGGCGTTTATCTTGATATCATTGATATCATGATTTCAGATGACTTTTTTTTACATTTCCTCCAGTTCTGTATCATATGGCATAAAGGCGAACCTGTTTTCAGTCAACCTTGGGATAGAAGTTCAAACACCTAGGTTGACATGCTTTGGATATGGACATGATAATACATGGGGATCGATATCAACTATTTTCCTTAGTAGAATATGACCGAGAATAACAGTACGACTTGCTGTAGGCAAACTTGGGGCTATACGGGTCGGTTAACTCGAAGCGAGATCCGACAGCACGTCATATATTGTGCAATGCCCCGTAGATCTTATAACCTTTGCGGAGAAACACGTGGAGACACGGGTATCGGCTCGATGGAAGTATAAAAAAAATAGATTGATCTACTTCGTACACAATCTATATAAATTAGTACCCCAATGTAGCAAAGAACGTAATCTTCCATTACTAGCTCGTCATCTCATCGTAGGCTATTTAAAAATAACCTAAATCCACTACTTGTATATACTTGAACATCCTCCTTTGAGTGTGTCCGACATGAAGCTCACGCAATATCTCGCACTCCTTCCACTTTGCTCGGCAAGCAGTAGCTATTATTTTGATGGCTCTGCTACCAGCAATGGAGATGGCACTCAATCAAGCCCATATAATACCTTGGCTTCAATCCCGAATCTGTCACTCTCTCCCGGTGATAACATTCTGCTCAAACGAGGCACCTCTTTTGATGGTCCGCTACTGCTTAATAAAAGTGGATCTGCAGGATCGGTTATCACTGTCAGTGCCTATGGAGATGCCTCGCAGTCGAAGCCGATGGTTGGCGCAGGGACCACCTTAAATTCAGTCCTGATCCAAGGTGCATCCTTTGTCACTGTTCAAGATCTCAACATCACCAACCCAGGAGACAATAAAACACCCCGCCGTGGTGTATATGTGTATGCGGCCGATGCTGGTCGAGTCCAGGACATTACACTACAACGTCTCTACATTCACGATGTACGAGGCTGGATGCCCTCAACCACAACCACCGGCATTGCTACGGGGAAGTACGCGAATGCTTCCGGTGGCATTGTGATTGAGGCCGCTGGCTCAAAGACCCCAACCTATTTTGATGGCCTCTTGATCCAAGATAATGAGATCCGCTCCGTGGATCGGCAGGGAATCTACACCTGGAGTAACTGGTGCCAGAGAGAGGAGCTTGCTGCTTTCTGGAATACTCTGTGTCTCAAGCCATGGGCGGCGTCCTCTGGATTGGTTATTCAACGGAATCGTCTGTACGATATTGGCGGAGATGGAATCGTCATCACGGGAAATAATGATGCTAAAGTCCTTACCAACACTCTCGTTGGTTTCAATCGGCGCTCCGAGTCCTACAACGCGGGATTATGGACCGCAAATAGTGTTGGGTCTGTCTTCCGATATAACACCGTATCAGGTGGCAAGTCTACACTTGATGGTATGCGCTCTAATCTCATTTTTGACTGGGTCAAGCTAATTGAGATCAGGAATGGCCTATGATGTGGATCATTCGACCTCGGGTACTCTTTTCGAATACAATGTATCCCACGACAATGAGGGTGGATTTTTCCTGTTCTGCCCTTACGATAAACCATCTCGAAACTTCACCATCAGATACAACCTGTCTGTCAATGACCGGGCAAGGATCTTCCAGGTTTGCGACGGAGGTCTCGTTGGTGGAAAAATTTACAAAAACACCGTTTATATTGGTGATGGTCTCTCGCCCTATATCGTCACAGAAACTACAGATGCAACCCTCGATGTTCAACTTACCAACAACATCTTCAAAAAAGAGGGATCTGGTGCGGCTAAGTGGGAGTTGAGTGATACTAAGTTCACTGTCAACAACAATGCATTCCAAGGCTCCATCAACACGTACCCCAAGGCCACCAATTCCCTCACTGAAGCCCAAGGTCTAGCCGCTCCTGGATTGAGGGATCCCAAGGCGTATCTGCTCTTGGCTGGTTATCCTACCTTGGATTCTGCAACCGATGTATTGGGTGATGCAGACGTTGATTTCTTCAATAACCCCACAAGCGCGCACGCGAATCGCGGATTCTACTCTGGTGCTGGAACAAAGGCTCCGACATGGATTAGTCGTTTTGATGACTCGAGTTTATCGGGATGGACCACTGCAGGAACTACCTCCATTGTGGCAGACCCATCCGGCGGACTAGGTAAATCGCTTTCACTCGCTTCTGGTGTTTCGATAACCAGACCTATCTCGCTCACTGTTCCGTTCCGCCTCAATTTGAGGATTTGGACTCCGACCGGGACTGGCACATTGCCATCGGTGGAAATCCAGGGGGTTTCGAAGTCTGCTACTGTGAAGTTTGCTGGTGCTACGCCCTATAGACAAGGGGAGTGGCAAATTCTGGAAATCGCTTTTTCGGATAGTGCTTCGACTGCTGCGGTGGATGGAGAATCTGTTACTTTGAAATCTGCGACACAAAGTGGCAGAGTCACCACTGCGTTTGTCAAGATTAATGGCGGATCGACTGGTTTGATTGTAGATGAAGCATTTGTTACTGCTGCTTGAGTGTTGGGACATATAGGAGGTTGATCTATAGTATGCACATATTCAAAGAACCAGTATTAGTGAACAATCCATGTCCCGATATTGTAGTGCAGAGGCTTTTTACAAATACAATTTTTATTGCTATTACATGTTTCACTTGGATCAAACGGCACTCAGCCCTCCATCGAGATTGAGCACACAATTGTTGGCATATTCATTCCCCGCCAAGAACACAGCTGCATCGGCAATCTCGCGTGGATCTCCAAATCGATGAAGAGGAATAAGATCCTTAAGCCTGCTTGTTTCTCCGGGTGTGAAGTCTATCTCGAGATCAGTGGATGCACGAACAAATATAGAATTCGTAAGCCAACATACCTGCAACCATGGGTGTATCAATATACCCCGGCACAATAGCATTCGACCGAATGACAATATCCTTCATCGAAGCCGATGCCTCAGCAGCCAATGATCGTGTCAGGCCAAGAAGGCCGGCTTTGGAGGCAGCATATGGAACAGCGCCAGTTCCGCCCTTGAGCGCGAGTAGAGAGGAGACGTTAATAATGCATTTCGAGGGGACTTTGCTCCCACTAGCCCCATCACTCCGGTTCCGCATCCGGCTCCGGATAGAGGCACGCATGAATGCGCGTGAAGTGAGAATCGCGCCTTCGAGATTAGTACGTAGAATGGTGGAGATATCTTCCAGCTCGGATCTTGGCAGAATGTTTGATATCGAAATTCCTGCCGCGTTGACTAGGATGTCGACATTTGCCTGGATGATGATTAGAATAGGTGTATTCACTTCGACGAGATAGCTTACCATTTCCTTTTCGAGTTCCCGCATCCATGACCCGGCGTCTGATACATCTCCGACAAGTAGACGGATTTTTCCTTGCGTGCTTTCCTGGTTGTCTTCCTCTGGGGTGCGAGTTGCAATTTCATTACTGCTTTCACCAAGATCTGGTGGTATAACTCGGAGGGAGACAAGCTTTGCGGCTGCTTCCTCTAGGCGTGTTTGAGACCGGCCAACGAGGACTATGGTCGATGCGCCTTCTTGTAGAAATCGTTCGGCAATAGCAAAGCCAATTCCGGATGTCCCGCCGGTGACCATGCATTTTCGGCCGGCAAGTCGGTTCCCCGGCTGAAATGAAATGTGGTTGTTCTCATTTGGCAGTGATGAGTATGATCGCTTTGTAAATCCCAAATGACTTGATACTTGGCTGTTGACGTAGCCTACATTGCGTAAATTGGTCTGTCTTAATAAGTCTCGAAAAAACAGGCTTTGTACTCGCAAGTGATATAGAGGAACTCTCAAATTGCCCATATTGTTCTTAGCTGTCTGACCTTCAAACAAAACGCGATATCGGGAGGATCGGGTGCGTCATTGGCAGCTTCAGCACGGACCAACACGCCAACCTCAGAAGGCTCTTTCGCTCCACCTCACTTTCCTACTGCACGACAACGCGTGCTTCATCATGGCTCCATCTACGGATTCCAAGTTTGTGACTATAGTCTCAAATGACGGGTTTGAATTTATTATCCCCCGCAGCGCAGCTTGTGTTTCAGGCACTATCCGGCGCATGTTGGACCCTTCGAGTACGAGGACTCGAGATCCATTGTTGCACAGGCTATGCTAACCACCTACAGGCAAATTCCCCGAAGGTCTCACCGGTCGCTGTGTGTTAGAAGAATTCTCGCATGTCTCACGTTTATATGGCCCCTTTTCGATGAATATTGCTAATGGATCTTTGTTTCTTTGCAGTGGCATCGTCGTCGAAAAGATCTGTGAATACTTCTGCTACAATGAAAAACACAAGGACCAGGTCAACGTGCCGGACATGGATATCCCACCTGAGTTGTGCCTGGAGCTCCTGATGGCAGCTGATTTCTTGGATACTTGATTTGGGTGTGGTGCCTTTGGCCTTTAGTTTCTCATCACCTCCCTGGCTGAGACCTCTTGTACGGGCTATTCTTGTTTTTCAGTGCACATTATTTTTGAAATGTTTCACGGCGCAACGACACAAGCATTCGACTTTTACGACAATACCATGGGAGTTCCGGACTAGCTTACACTGGCTTTGGCCATGGCGTTATGGCATGGCATGTATTTATGTACATGAAATATCTTTCTTTCTCGCTGTAGCAGTATCCTTGATTTCTGCAAAAAGACCTCTTATCCCATCTGAGCATATGCAAACGGTCGATACATCTATGGCCGAATTTGTCTAAAGATGATGGGAGATCAACATATCCAATGGTAACACCCTTGTCTAGCTATTACTGCCAAAGGGTTTGGATCATAGGAGACAAATTGAATAAATCATACATATTTATATGGAGTTCCATAGTTAGCTAGAATGTATCAACTTGAAGCCCAGCCCTGCCCGAGGTGGAGGATGAGTCAGCAAATATTGATGGGCTCTGGCTCCACCTAACTTCCAAGGAAGTATTGGGAAGATCATTCTTTCATTCACTTTGATTTACGGGATGCAGTTCACAGGAGCATTGCTCACTGTGATCTTCAATTTAGTCACATCTTCTAAATAACGCCATAATTGCTGCTCACAGTTAGATGCATTGCCCTCCGTGTTGATCTCCCCCGGATCACTGATAAGGCCCGCAGAGGCGCATACAACACCGCCTCATCATGTCAGGCATCGTTGAACCCTCCACAATACCAACTACATCTAGCACGGCTTTCTTACAACAGTTAAACACAACCTTATCACCAGAAACTTCTTCTTTGTCCTCTTTACCGCATCAAATCTTGACCTCCCCCCTTCGCGCCTTTCAACACGCCGAGACATTTGCCCTCCGAACGGTTCCCCATACTATCGCGAGAATAACCGGAATTCAGGCCCTCGGGCGAAACCTCTGGAACAGCGCAGGATCAGCAGCTGGATCCAGCACTACAGCCGCAACACATGCAGCGGATATGGCTGGAAATGAGTTAGCCGATGTAGCCGGCCAGGAGAGTGGCTACTACTTTGCGGAGTTCTTGGGGGCCATGAAGAAACTCGGTGGATTCTTTGGGTATCTGACAAGTCTTTGGTCATTTGCCTGTTTGGTGGAGGTGAGACCCCCGCTCTCGACTTGTATACCTACCTTGCTGATGGCCTAGGCCCTCATCCTCAACCGAATTACTATCTATGCATCCACACGGCGACACCTTCGTCTAGGCTGGGAAAGGCGCGCGGCTCTCCGATTAATCCCTATAATTCTCTTCGCCTCCCAAATCCTCAGCCTGCTCCGTGGAATCCGATGTCAGACGTCGCCGTCGTTTTCGACAATGCGCTACGGATACCCCGGAAAGCAACTCGCGTTCGACTACTCTAGTGACGGGGGAGCTCTTTACTCGATTAGCTCGACACTTCTGGGATGGGAGTCTGAGGAACAGTCGTGCAGCGCTGTGAAGATGGCGCGCGGAGACAATCCTGGTATCCCATATGGATCGTTTTCCCTACTCTGGCCGACATTCATGCTGCTTTGCTTGAGCCACTTTATTGAAACACTCTCGTGCGCATTACAAGGCAGGCCGGTGATGACTGAGACGGGGATGTCCATATTCGAACACTCAATTGCCTTCGCAGAAGCCGAGTCGATGATCAGTAAGTCCATCGGACTAGGTCTGTTTGGTCTTCCCAAACAAAGCCCCCTCAGTGCGCTTTCTGGTGGGTCTGATGACAGCTCAACTTCGGTGTTTGAACTCCTCACAAGATCACAAGTCTTGGAACGCATGAATGTCACCCCCGAACTATTACTTATCGCGTTGATTTCGTGCTGCAATAGCGTCACCTCCCACATACTAGAAGTTTTCGGGAAGCAGAGCAAATATCGGCTTTTCAGCACCGCCTTTTGGGGTGCCTGCTTCATGGTAGCCATGTCGTGGGGGTTAGACGGTGGTCCGCCCGTCAGCCTCGAAACTGGCGTGCTCAGGTTCCCGACTGTTTGCATAGTGGGATTCATTCCTCATATCTTTTTATTGGGTGGTATTGTGATTTGTCTCTCAATATACACTTTGGCACTTACCATCACCGCTGTCTCACTGCCCTCGGAAGATCAACCTGTCTCACTCTATGACCGTTTCTTGATGGCCCACGAGAATATGCAAGGATCAAACCAGATAAGGAGCATTCGTATAAACAGACACGAAGACTTTTATACGACGTTGCTTCGAATCGGCTATGTTGCACTAACCGCCGCAAGTGAGGCTGTGTTCTTGAACGAGGGCAAATCAGTCGTCGCGCGGCGGATGACATGGTTAGAAGAGGATCGCCTTTCTGAGATCGAAGCCTCGAGGCGGAGATCTTCAATTTATAGCAATTGGCAAAGCGAACCGAGCGAACTGAACGAACCCAGCAGTCGACCTATCGAAGCTATGGGTTTCTCAAGTTTCGATATGCCAGAACAATCTGCTTGGGAGAGTGGTTACAACCGCGAAAAGAAGGTCGAGAAACCCAAGAACGGTGCTCGAGCTGTGCAATCTCGAGCTGAGCTTGGGGGAGTTGGCGCAGTGCGAGTATCTATTAGATTATGGCATGTACTCTCGTTCTTCCGCGCAATATCCCTCATAATGCTCCGTTGGCTTGCATATGGGCTCAACAATGTGCTTGATCGACTGGGAATAAGCGCTCGCCCAATGTGGCTGAAACGCATGGTGGGTCACCGTGGACAGAAGTCTAATGATGGCAAGACGAACCCATCGCAGCCATTAGATTTCTGGATCCTTTCAGAAAATGGAGAGCTTGAGCTCCCCGAAGACCATGACTTTGATGTTGAGATCGAGATGAGGAAGCGAGAGCGCGCGAATCGGCCAGACTGGATGAGCGCGGACGAAAGTCGGTTAGACGACAGATTGTACAGCTGGTGGAAAATTGGCGGTGCATGGGGAAACCAAGATCAAACCTCTGACTATTCCCCGCCCTCTGATGACTTTGACACCACGAGCGTGGTATCTATGTCTACCAATGCCTCGGAGTCTGAATGGGAGGATCACTCGTCGGAAGATGGTCGTCGTACTCCTACCCAGCTTGAACCGTATGCAGATAGAGCAAGCCCACCACTCCAAGATCCCCTGATCGACATGAGCACTCTCGCTCGTCTTCTTGACCCGCGCGATCGCGACAGTAGAGAAGAAGCCAGGATCTTAGCTGCCCATCTCAAAACAAACCAGGATAGTCCACAGATCATGACGCGCAGTCGCTACCAGAAACAACTTGAGAGGGAGAGATCCCGGATCATCTTCTCATCCCGTCTCCAGCAACTCAACGCCATGCACTCAGGGTCCGAATGCCGGAAACCCACTCCCGAAGAGGAAGCTGAACTCCTTGAGAAGCTCATCCTTTCCCGTCGCTCGGAAACCTCGGGCAATTCCGATGCTCATACATGGGAGTCCGGCGCAACAGGCCTCGGCCCCAATGGTCCACCCTGTGTGGTCTGCCAAACAAGCCCACGGGCTATAATCACCTGGCCCTGTCGCTGTCTATGTATTTGCGAGGACTGTCGCGTGAGCCTTGCCATGAACAACTTTGGCAGCTGTGTGACTTGTCGTCAGGAAGTCGTGGGATTCATGCGCTTATGGGTTCCATAAGTCAATACGTTTCAATCGTCGTTTTTTAGCTTTGTTTTTTTTTTAGCTTTGGCTCACATAGGTTCCATATTATTGAACATCTTGTAAGATATTACATTTGCATGATGATTTTGGCCTTGCGGAATGTATCACACCCAAAGCTGATAGAGGGCTGTGTTTCTCAATTTCCTGATCGATAATTCTCTTTCTAGCACACATCTATGAGATCGATTCTGGGCTTACATGTATCTCGATTAATTCATTCATTGGATACGTTCATTCGTAACTAATATCAAATGTTGAATAAACATGGCAACACTGCCTCAATATTAATTCTCATAGACGAGAGGGCGGTACTCAGCCTCCCACATCTGGATTCGAATCCACTCCCGCAGCTCCGAGTCAGTGGTAGGGATGCCCTCCGCCTGCGCCAGTCCCTCCTCCACAGCACACGAGATCACAGCCGCGGCAATATCCACGCTGATTTCACGCACATCCTCCACGTCGGGAAGTAACGGCTGAGAAGGGTCTTTCAGGGCCGGTGACCGCGCCTTGAGTGCCTCCACGGCAGCGACTAGCATCTTCTTGGAAACCAGCCGACACTGTGAGAGCACTGCCCCAAGACCAATACCCGGGAAACAAGTTGAGTTGTTGCATTCCGCTAGAATATCATTAATATTGAGCGGTCAATGCCTGGGGAGACTTGGATACATACCGATGTCATATTCCTTGCCGTTATGGGTAACTGGTGGGAATGGACTACCAGTGGCAACAAGGGCTCGTCCGTCAGTCCATTTATAGAGATCAGCCGGCTTCGCCTCGTGGAGTCGTGTCGGATTGCTGAGCGGGAATATGATGGGTCGTTCTACATTGTTGGCCATCTCGCGAATGATATCTTCCGTGAATGCTCCGGGCTTGGTAGATGTCCCGATAAGCACATGGGGATGGACCTTTTTGACGACCGAGAGAAGATCTCGATCGTTTTCCGACCACTGGTCATCGTCGCGTGCGAAAGGTGTCTGGCCTTCGGTCAACTTATCGCCGAGGGATTTTACGAGGAGACCGGGCTTGTCGATGCACCTAGAAACAATGTTAGCAGGGGTATTATCACCTGTATAATTTACATACCAGATCTGCTTTGACGCTTCATCTTTCGACTTTTGAGTCTCAGTGGCGATGGTATCTGAAATCTGGTCTGCAATGCCAATACCAGCCGTTCCCGAGCCAAAGATCACGACTCGCACATCTTCCAGTTTGACCTGGCTAACTTGAAGACCAGCTAACATAGCAGCGAGTGTGACACACCCTGTGCCCTGGATGTCGTCATTAAAACAGGGGATCTGTGACTGATATCTATCGAGTATTCTTCGTGCATTATTTAACCCGAAGTCCTCACTGGTATCGTTAGCTGCGTTTCGAATAGAAAAGAATCATTCCTCTTACAAGTGGATGTAAGCCTTGGGAAATTGTTTGCGAGCAGCCTTGACAAATCTGTCCACGAATTCATCGTACTTCTCCCCTCTAACCCGACGCTGCCGGAGGCCGAGATACAGTTCGTCGTTGAGCAACTTTTCGTTCTATACATGGCGTCAGCAAATGTAGATTAAATCAAAGAATGGGGTATACCTACATCTGTACCGCAATCTAACACAACAGGAAGCTGTCGAGGAGGATGGATTCCAGCACAGAGTGTAGTGATGACCAGTTTGGCAACTGATATGAGAATAGCGCCCACACCTTGGTCCCCGATGCCCAATATCTGTAAACAAATCAATGGTAAGCGTTATCACGCACTAGTTCTCACTTGGGATATATAATTACCTCTTCGCCATCACTAACAACAATATAATCAACATCCTCCGCAGTCCCAAACTCAGCGAGATACTCGTCGAAGTGACCCTGGTCATTGATATTCAAGAAGCACCCCTCCGGCTTCCTAAATAATCGCGAGTAATTCTCAATCGCTTCTCCTTCAGTAGGCGTGTATATCACGCTGAACATCTCCTTGAGATGTGTTTGCACAAGCTATTCACAAGTTAGTAATAGTGCACTTGATATTCCCTTCGTCGGAATGTCAGAACCTTGTAGTACAGCACTTCATTCTGCGCTTTCATGCTAGCCAAAAAGGTGTTCTTGGCTAAATCATCTGCTCTGCTTTTATACTGCTGATAAGCGCGCTGAACCTGCTCATCCAGTGTCTGGATGTTTGGCGGAAGGAGACTGTGGAGCTTGAACTTTGTTCGCTCATGTTCTGGGAAGGCGGAGCCTTTGTTAAATTGAGATGACTTGAGGAGAGCTGTTCCCTAGTTCTGTGTCAATATCGGAGTTACTATGGAAAAGTGCTTGTGTGGGTACCTTGTATGGGCAGATCAAGGACCCCGCGGCGCGGGGTAGATGGCGGAATTTGGATTTGGAAATTGACATGTTGAGCTAGTGAGTTTCAAAGAATGCGCTGTTATAAGTGAATTAGAACAGAAAGATGGAGATATGTGAAAGGGATGTTCAATTCAGGTTTGGGTGCGCCCACGTCATAGCTTTCCGCCAAGAGAATATAGAACATGGGACGATTATATACAACTGTATGAATTAAAAGATGTAACGAGCATAATCCCTCAGTAGACGCTAATTATAAGAGAATAATATATGATATTGATGGTAGTCGTGCTCTAGATAAGGAGGATTTATATAGTAGAATTCAATAAAACTGTTTAACCACTAGGAAAATTGGTGATATCTCAATTTGTATGGAGGTCAAAAGCTTCATTTTTTGGACTTGCACCTAACACCTTGTTTATCAAGGCAATTGTAATAGTGATTTAGCTATCTTAATTATTTTACTGGTCTTATTTCAAAATGAGACATTAAGGCGATAGCTACTTTTCAGAAACTGCGTCTATACCGCTACTCCGTATGGAGTAATCGCTCGCCCTCCCTTCTGGCCCCCTTTTCCCCTTTCTCTCTGGCCCCCTGTTTCCTACCTGTAAACTTTTAGCTAGACGCCCTACTCCTTTCATTTTACCGGGGATGCCGCTCGATCCGACTCCTTGGCCGTTCGGACCAGTGTACCCAGGGCTATAATCCTTAGTTATGTTGTCTGTTGTACTCCGTACTCCGTAGTAGATTAGGAGCAGGAACACTAGGGTGATCCTGCCATTTACTGCATCACATGATTGCGGCTCAATCGTACGTTCTCCAAAGAAGTCTATTGCATACCTACAATTCCTTACAGATCGCTTACTTTTTGCTAGTGAGGCGTTCCCAATAAGTGTCTGTTATCCAGCTGACCTCCCTTGATGCGAAATCTCCTGGACACTACATGCTCTGCTTCATTCGGCCTAGTCTCAGGCCCCACCCCACCTAAGGTTACATTGTATAGCCCTTAGCGTCATAAATCGACTCTCGGCCGCTTGTAATGATCTGAGTTCTCGGGCAATACCGCGGAGCCCCAAATCGTCGATCCTTACCATTACAGATCTAGTTTGACACTAAACCGTTGAGCTATATATAAGTGGATAACATACATCTATAGCAAATTTTCATTTTCCCGCTACTTCTCCTTAGGGCAAAATGTCCACAGCTTATCCCCAATCCAGAATATGAAAACTTCACTTACAACTACCTGGGTTGTTACGTTACCCGGCAGCAATGATGAAAGTTTAGCTATTGGTTCCCCGCGATGGCCATTTGGGTCTCTGTCAGCTGGAAACTTCACCTTGTCTGTTGAGAATCAAGCTACTGTTGACGCAGAGCATGACGATGAGAAAAAGGTCACGTTGCTTATTGAGAGGCACGGCAATGCCTTGGCATTATTTGATATAGTAGATGGCGATAGGAAAGTGGCTGAAGTGCGGGAGAGTATACAACACAACGAGAAGTTACCTTTGACGCGAAATTACTGGCAAAAGTATCGGCCTGCTCTTGATCTTGTTGTCACTCCTGGAGTTGATCAATCGCTTGTGAGTGTCTTGTAATTATCCAATGGATGTCATTTTGACTTTGGGATAGGTTGTTACTGTGGGGGTCATTCTAGCAGACTGGGTCTTTGGTTCGACTTGAGTAGAGTTCTGTCAACCGGTGGATCAGCAAGGTCTCCTACATAGCAATGGATAGATGATGGATGACACCATTCAAATAGCAATGGATTAGCACTAAACAACTGTCTCTATCTGCCTGTCAGTTCTGTACATATTGGAACAAAACGGGCTCTAACTCATCACTCTCAGTACAGCCAAGGGGGTCTCAAATTGATGTGGTGTCTATGATAACTACTAGAACAAAATGAATTCGCTCGCCGTCTACTGGCCAATAGGATCCTCTTTGAGGTTCAAATCTTAAACTTTCGGCCTGCAGCCGCATGTGGTCAGTTCCAAAAAGTAAGAGATTCTTAAGGGCTACAAAAGCAGAAGCTGATTGAATCAGGAAGAAACTACTTCAGTTTATCTGATGAGAGAAGGTTTTATAGGCCAGGTTTTATATTAATTATGGGGTCCAGGATGAACGCCTTCCTGGGCTACAAAAAATACACTTTTTGTACAGAGTACTCTGTATAGAGTAACGCTATATGGATAAAAGTTGACCATCATGCATTTAATATACATTAAGTGGCCACATGATATCTATTTGGCCACTATCTACTCCGTACTTTGAACAACATACCTGCTTCGACTGAATTCAATGTTCCTGTATTACGCTAGTAATATAGCCGGTGGCTATGTAGCATCGTTACAGCGCTCCCATGCCCAATGACTCGATGGGTGATAAAAAGAGGGTTGTAATTATTCCTCACTAGCCCAGTACTGCGTACAAAAGCCAACAATGCCAGAAGCGCGGTCATTGGTTATTTTTTTTGCTTCTTGGGAGGTAGCCCTGCCTACGAACGGCAACAGCCTAAACGATAGGCCCGAGGTGGGCCCAGAAAGCTCAGAGTCTTTTGCTGGCAGACAGGTTTATTAATTCGTGCTGTGATCTATATATATTTCTCCACAATGTACGGAGTAGGGGAATTCAAAGTGATAAGTTTCTGAGAATCCATTTATTGCCAATTAATATAAGCTTTTTTGATATACGAAACCCGCAAATCTTAACCACGATGGGCAAAGCGCAAGCAAACAGAACAGAGATCAAATCATAAAAATCAAAATCAAGGGGGGCTTTTACCCTTTTTTTATACTGTAGATTTCTTTTCCCCATCCCCCTTAGGACACCTACATTCTTGTTCAACAGATGTACCGCCCTAGCTAAACTCCTCACCGGACAATGCGTTCAACCTTCGAAAGGAGCCCTAAATCGGAGTTTGAGCCTATTTCCTACCATCATGCTATTCCGAACAAGTGGTTCTCAAAACTCTGTGGACACATTACAACTATCCCACTTCGTGAACGGTGATCCAAGACCCTGAGACAGTGAGCCTCACCGGGAAACATATTGCATCCACTTCGGACATGACAACCAAATATGATATCACCTTCACCCCTGTAATATGACTGTTATCTGAAAGCTTCAAATGACTCGGTCAGCTGCACTATAAGTGCAGGCATGAGCGGATCCTTTTACGCAGGGCTCTATCACGGCTGCTCCTGTTGCTGCTACAGTGCCCCACTACAATGATTTTCAGTTTTCTTTTTAATGATTGTTGCTCTATATGTTCATTTTAAATTGCGCAAATTACCCACCAGGTTTGAAATCACCATAATATTGCTTGTCGGGATGTTCACATCTTTTAGACGTAAAAGCCTCCGATGCCGGGGCGAAGAGATTGGGGAAGACATAGTGGATGAGGCTAGTCCGTATTCATGGAATTTCCCACTTTAGAGATCTCGAATTGCTGTTCTAAGTCTGGTATCTTATGCTGTTATCTAAGGCTAGCAAATTGAAAGAGAGATATGAGAATATGGTAAAATGTATAGTAATCCATGTTAAGCCATGATTACATCATTTAAGGTTGGACCCGTGGACCGCTGGATGAGCTCCGTTCCGCATACGGTCTAGTGCCCGCTACAGTAAACGGAAAGGCGTTTCTGTATAGATAGTAGAAGCCAACAAATCTTCCCTAAGCAACTTACCTACTAATTTCTCGCAATGTCTGAAAATTATCAACCTCGCCCAGGATCTCCCGATGTACCGCTCCCGGACCTTGAAAATCGGAAGCGAACGTTGAATGATAGTATGAGACAGGCGCGTAAGCGTCTCCGGGCCCATGGGTCCTTTGATGTAGAATTTTGGGCGCGGGCAAGGGAGATTGAGGAAATAGGCCTAGCACAATCCCACTTGCAACGCAAAATATCGTTACAAAGATACGAGGGTTCTGAGGCCAGTTGGAAAGAGTCGGACGAGGCCAAAGAGATCACACAGATCATCAGGGCTCAAGAGCAGTCCAAGAAAATTTGTCAAAAGAGACTGTCAGATCTCGACCCCGAGGCACCCAGAAGAAGCATCAGAGCTTCATTCGTCAAGCTGTTCTGTACGAGCAAGATGGGACTGGGGATCACCAGTACCGGCGCAGGACGCCGTAAGTCGGACCAGCAGTCCAGATTCCGATCTCAAATGATCGAGAAATACAACGCTAAGCACGACCTTTATGACCACCTTTGGTGTCCTGTTCTTGGAGACTGGCGTGACAGCGAAGATGTCGTCGCAGCCCACCTGTTTGCATACATGCATGGGCAGACAACGATGGACGCCATTTTTGGTAAAACCAAAACTCCCGAGCTCTTCTCGCCCCGGAACGGTGTCATGGTCTCCAAGTACATCGAGCACTACCTCGATTCCGGTAAAATGGTCATTGTACCTAACCTCCCCGACCGCCCAAAGCTAGCACAGCTTCTCGGGTGGCTCAACAGCGATGTCCGCAGCCTAAAGATACGGCTGCTAGACCATTCATGGAACAAATTGGAACATCCGATAGTGCGGGACCTTCCACTCAAATACAGAGACCTTGACAATAGAGTCTTGATATTCCGTTCGTCCTTTCGTCCTGCTGCCCGTTACCTCTACTTCCATTATGCCATTCAGGTTCTTCGGCATGCCTGGGAGCAAAACTCACAAGGGGATAAGGCCGCGGAGACTATGCAAGCAGAAGCTGGAAAGCTATTTTGGGGAACTCCCGGCAGATACCTGCCCAAAAACATGCTCCTCGCGCTCGTAGAAGAGCTTGGCCACGAGTACAAGCCACTCCTGGACGGTGCCTCAATTAGCAGATGTGGAGATCCCCAGCTGTTGTTGGCAGTAGCCGCAAATCAAGTCAAGTCGCGACGGCCGGCATTGAAAGGTTCCGCTCTTTTCTTCGAGAGCTCCGATGGGAACGATGAAGATGAGAACGACGAGGATAATGATGAATATGGCACTTGCTTTTGATTGGAACTGATTCTTTCTGGAGGAATTGACAGTAGATGATCAGGGTTGTATAATTATGGAAGAGGTTGATATTTTCGTTGAATACGCGGGCCCTGCATTTTACACAACTGCCTCACAGGTTACTACAATGGAATTCGTGAGTTTTGTGCAAACATTTAATATCACCCACAAGAACTTCATAGATTTAGCAGGCCCGGGCAATTCTGAAAATTCCTGTGCCTCGGGTATTTGCGTGGAGTTCTACTGCTCAAAACCCGGTGGGCTCGGAATACATCATCATGGTGGAAGTAACAGGATTACAACTTGGGGCCGTATGGGATGAAATGACTCCGGACTTAAAACTAAAGATTATGAGGGAGATCGTGTCTATTAAAGCCAAGATGCTGCCGATATCGTTTTCACAGTATGTACTAGTTCTACAAGCAGATCATATCGCGCTGTACGCGGTGGTATTTTTACTTATCAGTGCCAGGTAACTCAAGTTGCCCTGTATTATAGTTATTATATGATCACCAGTTCCAGAACCTAGCCGTGCCCGCATTCCTGCCATCTCTCTCAAGTAACGTAGCCTTAGTCAAATCAGGCCGGATGATCCGCCCAAACGGAGCAACTACAAAACATTAGGATTTCAGTTCTGGTTATAGAAGTGTCACACATACCCCACTCCTTAGTCCAGTCGACCTGGTCAGAAACGACCTTAGGCGAAAATCCAGCGTAAAGCGCCGTGTATGCGCCGTAAACAGTCGGATAGAACACTAGCTTAGCGACGATGCGCAGCTGTAGTGCTTGATCACGCGGTAAGCCGGAGACGACGTTACCAGGATCGATAAGCACGCTAGCCACGCCTTGGGCTCTGTAGTGACGGTTATGCTCGATACCTAGAGTCCAGGCGCCTGTCTTGCTTAGACTATGGCGCTGGGTTTTCTTTTCTGGATTATGGCAGTCGAGATTGTCCGTAGAAATGCCTACGTCCTGGTGCGCGCTAATCTCTATGCCGAAGGAGCTATACTAGATAACTCGAGTTAGACTCTCGGTGGCGATGAGAGTCGGCGTGAGGGGTTTGGTTAGTAGGTGGGTTGCTACGCATTTGACGCCTAGGTAGAGCTCGTGGCCCTGTGCTGTTACGGTGATAGGCTCGTTGGGCTCGCTTGGACTGACCATCTATTATATATCAGGAGAATGGCAAAATGGAAAGACTAGATGTGCAGACGTACGACGCCGGCATTGTTAAAGAGCACCTCTAGGCGCTGTTCGCGGGCGAGGAAGGCATCGGCGGCGGTATTGACTTTGTTAAGTCGGCGAGATCGCAGGCGATGAAGATTAGTGAGCCCTTTGAGTCTTGAATGGCTTTCTCGATGTCTTGGATAGCTTTGAGCGCCTTGTCTTCGGAGCGGCATAGGATATAGACCTTTGCGTTCTTGGCGTACAGAAGGCGGGCGATGTCCTTCCATCGTCAGGATCGGTCCTTGGTAGATGAGCAGCACGGATAAGTGATTTCAATTAAATTGCTAGCGGTCGATGTCAGATTTTCAGTGACAGGAAGCTGTTTTAGCTAGAAACCTGGAAAGTATTGCCGACTACTCCGTAGCCAGACCTGACTCGTAAGTAGGCAAGAGCCCGGGGCCACTATACCCCTGCGCATCCTGAGCGAAAGGACGCTTCTTTGTCTGTCACACATCTCAGTCTAAACGTATGATATCGACGGATCTAAAGAGGCCCGAGATAGGCATAAGCCTCAGTCTTTCCCTTGTAGGGCAATTAAAGTGATAAGCTTCTTTTATTATGGTCCAATCATTATGAATCAATATAAGCTTCTTTAATATACGAAATCTACTGGTCTTAACCTCTACAAGGAACAAGGAGACAGAAAGATCAAATCATAAACATCCGTTCACCCAGAAGGTAAAACAAGACGTGCATTGTATTAAGCATGTCAAACTATACAGGGAGGTAACCTATTCGGACGTCTCAACAACCAACCCAGCTAGCAAAAAAGGAAGCAAATCCCCGCCAACAAGATGCAGTCGCACGCACCGGCAATAGCCTCAGATTAGGTATAGATAAATTTACAGGACGTAAGCGGCAGCGGCGGCGATAGCAGCAACACCAGCCATGTTGCCCTTGACACTGCCAGCGCCGTTGAAGGCGGGGGAAGAGGAGCTGGGGGCAGCACCGGTCTTGCTGACCAGAGGGGTGGAGGTGGCAACGCCGGAGGAAGAGCCAACGGAGGTGGATCCGGTGGAGGTGGTTCCGGGGGGAGGAGCGACAGCGGAGGAGCTGCCGGTCTCAACAGCGGAGGAGCTGCCGGTCTCAACAGCGGAGGAGGACTCCGAAGTCTCAGTGGGCTTGGCGGTGGTCTCAGCGGCGCTGGTGGTGGTAGGGGCAGCAGTGCTGCTCTCCTCACCGCCATCGCTCTTGATGGGAGGGATGGAGATGGGGTGGCCAGCGGACTTGCACTGATCAGTGACGGCGTTGGAGACGGCTGGAAAATATGAGTTAGTTGTGGGTTGAGACAAAGAAGGGAGGGGATGATAACGTACAGACTTGGTCCTCGTACTCGCAAGCCTTCTCAACACAGGGGGTGATGGTGCTGACGAGCTCGGGCTTCTGGCAGTGGCACTCGAAGTCGAGGAGCTCGGAGCAACCATCACCACCGAGGGCGCTGACGAAGCAGCTCAGCTAGAGGGAAGTGTTAGTATAGATATAATAGGTTTGGAGTATCAGGGTGCGTACGGAGCAGGCGGGGACATCGGGAAGCTGGGCGCTGGCAAGGCCGGCAGCAACCAGGGCAATCAGGGAGGTGGAGAACTTCATCTTGATGATATAGTTGAAAAAATAAAAGATATTATAAAACGGCGTGCCGGAAAAGACAGTCAAGTGTATATAGCGAGTGCGGATGAGTTGAGAAGAGTCTGGACTTGGGATGGGTGAGGCCCTTCTTATAAGCTTTAGCAGTCCATATACTCCATCTTTTTCCCCCGTGGAGAGACCCCTAGCAGGGTCGCACCAAAGGTGGGACCATCACATGTCTCCGCATGCTTAATAGGATGCAATCCACCGAAAAGCAGGCCAAGGCCGCGGTTGAATGAGATCGCAATTACCACGGATTAGAATGCTGGACGCTCATTGCACAGCCAAGCCTGAAGGCTTACGCCGGATCCTGGGTTCCCGCAGCCGACTGAGCTTTGGGGGCGAGTATTGAGTGGACTAGGTGCTCTCGTCTCGCACGGAGTACGTATGCCCGCATTGCCAAGTCGAGACTAGACCAGGGCGAACGAGGAAGCCACCGGAAAGTCTGGACCAGTGGCAATGTTTGTCGCACGCTTCCCATTTGCTAGTCATAAGGCCGAATGTGGTTACTAGCTTTAATTTCCACTGTGTCAGGCTAGCCTAGTGGTTTTGAGGGACAGTGCGGTACGGGGACACAACAGAACTCCATAGGGTTGTGCAGCGTCTCCATTGCGTCCCCATGTAAAGAATCTCTATAAAGAAAGAGTATGCATATTTGCATATTGCGCAATATTGAAAGACAAAGGCCCTAAAAAAGAAAAGTGTCAAACCCCATATGAAGAAAATCCGGGGAAATCAATTAGCAGGCCTCGGTAGGGCCCGAGAGTGAGCGTAGCATTGCACTATACCATATTGGGACTTACTCCGACGCACTGTGCAATTAATATAAACAATCATATTATTATGATATTTTATTGATCTTTTTAAAATTACTTGGGGTAACACACGGCTTCCTTTTAATAGCAAGATTTAAAAGGGTCTAAACTCAGGTTATAATCCCAGTATAAGCCTTATGTACAACGTTGTAGCTCCCGAGGTCCCTCGGATAGAGGCATCAAAGTCGGGTTCAGAGTTTCATTGGGACTTTACGGTCATTTGATAGGATAACTACTCCGTACTTCGTACTTCGTAATCTTGAGAGGGTGAAATATCGTACCTGCATATGACGATCAGTGGCAAAAAGAGCCAATGTATTTATGAGTCAACCATTCGTTTACCTAGGATGATCAGACCGATATTGGGGAAGACGAAAAGGGTAACTAAAAAGTAAGACATTTAGCGGGGGTGGGCCAGTCAGGACATAGACTAGACCCCATCTTTGACCTGGACATTTGCCAAGTACAACTAACAATTCATTCTTAGCGTGGGGTTGGGGGGTCAATTACCAAATTAGGAAAATCAGGTCAAAGAAGATCACATGGTTGCCACCCACTTTAGCGAAATCCTGTCCTATCAATCCATTTGCCATGTAAGAGAAAAGAAAAAGGCGCATCGGCCGAGTGAAACATTTCTCAAATAGGTTTAGACTATTTAAAATCATGACTATTACTACATGAACATGATAATGTATATATTCTAGTACATACTATGGAGTAAAATATGTAGAGATAAAGAATATCAAAAAAAAGCAAATACGCCATTTTCAATATCGCGGGGTCCCCAGACCCATTGTCTAAATCCGGGGATCGGAAATGAGATGTCATATCCCGGTCTCTAATCTCTTTAATCTCGAACAGATAAATATAGCTGACAGCTTAAATGAGGATCAACCCCCCAGGATCGGGAATTCTCGATCGTATAAACGTATACGGCTTATAAGCGGAAATTACCTATCAATTTCCGTGAGACAATGGGAAGCGACCTCGGTCGGCTCACATGGAAACGAATTGCTTGAATGTGCTTGTTCCATCGAATGTACCCTTGAAGGCTGTGAATACCCATGTCATTCGTATCTCATTAATTATCTAACGCCCAATCCATGCAAGTCTGTCAACGCCAATTCAAATTACAATATGTCCTCAGGATAACAATTCGTCAATATGTGCTCGCTCTTTGGTGTTCTTCCCCTTGAGAAGAACTGCGAGGACTTCGATGGGCGGGTTGAGCTTCAACTGATTAGCCCGTCTCCATCGCTTGACTCGTGCGATTCCAATACAGGGCTAATGAGAAACAGACATTATGTTAGATGACTTCTTTATGAAGGATTATTGGAAACCTGGACAACATACCCCATATTGACTGGAAAGATCAAAATGTCGGAGAATCTTTTCCTCTACATCCATACCTTCCTGGTGGGCTATCGAGTTGGAATTAACTTCTTGATTCACACTAATATCTTGTGTGACAAACTCGACTTACCCCTAGGTGCCATGCGACTCTTCTCTTGAGCCTGCCAGTATCGCCAGATATCCTGCTTGTTCAACTTCAGTGCCCGCTTGTCCTCTTCAGATAAGGGTGCTTGGTGTTCGACTGCGGCCTGTTGTCGCACCGCTAGCTCTGCGACATGAGGCTTAGATGGTTCATTTGGGGTGACAGGCAGCTGCTGGGGCTCCGGGGGAGTGGCGGGGGAGGTGTCGGGCAGCGATGGGGTTGATTCGAGAGCCTTGGCTTTATGAGATGGTGCGGTGACTGGTTTGGTGACCCGACCTCCAAAGGAGAGGGTCGACTGTGACCTATTTGCTGCGCGGCGAGGCATAATGTATGTTGTAGGTGTTGAATGTATGTAAGATGGATGTAAAAGAAGAAGTCAGGTGGAGACGGATACGATGTCATGGTTGCACTGGCAACCGGTGAAATATTCTTTTTAAGGTCCAGGAATTTGGTCTTCCATGGTTCTGGATATTTTGATATTGATATTTGATCTATATATTCTATTTACTATTCTATAATAATTTGTGGACTAATATCTTGTGCAGTTATGTGTGATGACGATGATGACATAGGCATTGGAAACTGGACTTATGGTGCCCGATAACAATTACGTCTGGGAGAATATAATTAAATCTTCTATATACATGTATAATTATATATTAGACCTAATATATAGAACTTTGGAGTACAAAAACCAGAGATTATAGAGGCTCAAGTTAATTGTGGCTGTTGGGGGGGCTCAGTGCACCTTTCCCCACTACCTTTGAGAAGGTCAGCTCCTTCACCTCTCCCTATCTGAAACCTCTAGACATCTAGAACCTTTGGCACTTCTCAACCTATTTTAACCTTCTTATTCAAGACATCTATATGTCCCCACATTTTACGAAGCCCTTATGATCTGTGATCCATCCATTCGCATATTCCCCACAACTTGACCAACCTCCCATGTCTATGGTGCGACAGGCACAGCTGATTCGAGATGGCCGCCTTCGTGCGCGTATCAGGCCCAGCAAATGGGAATTTCCTGATCGGATACCCAGGAATTTCGGCGACCATGGTAAGCGCCCTGCGATACCTGCGGCGAGCCGATTCGGCCCCCTGCTCATGCGGTCCCATTGACTGACCATCCAAGCCACGAATTGAGGGCAAAGTTGAAATCAGACCCTGCGTCGGCATCACAGCTCCAGTCAACGTCTCGCTCGTCACTATTTCCCTCCTCCGCCGCGAGACAATCCACCCTTCGGCCGACTCCCTCACAAAGAAGCGCCTGGCTCCGCCGCGGAAAGAGATCACCGACATCGTCGGCAAAGAGATGCTGCTATTTCGATGTCCTGCCGGCCGAGAATACGAGGAAGTAATATCTATGGACCTGCCCTTCGTTCTCTTTATTCCATTTGGTCGTGGTGGCCGAGATGCCTCTCGCCGTGTACCCCCAGCTAGTGTACAACTCCCGAGTCGCACTGCTGAAACATACTACGAGATGGTGGTGATGGTTCAGCAAGGGCAACAGCAGCAGCATAAATATACCTTCCCCGTCCCCATCGCGCGCTATGACACACTCTCCACATTCGGCATGTACAATCGTCCAGAGTCAGCCGAGCGCGTATCAGATCATCTGGTCACATTAGCTATCTCACTACCACGATGGTCCTACGGTCCTCTCGATCCTGTCAGCGTCTATGTCAAACTTTCACCGAACGAGAGCTGGATGGGCAAGGCGCGTAAAGTGACCATCAGCAAGATCACCATCGGCATCGACGAGGAAATTATCTACAATCACGAAGGCGATGAGCCCCAGCGCAAAGTCAAAGTTCTAGCCAAGAAAACAGAGAACATCGGCGTTAAACTACCACAATCGGGCTATTTAACAAATCTGGGGTTGGTATTCCCCGCCAAGGACCTCCGTGACGCAGAAGGAATCTTGCCGAGAAGTAGGGCTGCATTTCCAACGTACGGTGTGAGTGGTTTCACAACCACAGCAAGTCTATATAAAATCGAGTACTATCTGACAGTTCGAGTTCGTTCCTCCCTGGTTTCATTGTATATCTTCCCAAAACTTACACACGACAGGCCCATTTAACCTCTGCAAGAGACATCACCATTCGACAACCAATCGTGGTCTGCCCTCTCGATCACGCCGGCTGCAAAGAAGAAATGGAAGCGATCGAGCAAGCCGCACGAGACGCCGCCCACGTCAACCCAGACAACCCCATGCTGCCTCTTCCAGCAATTGTACGACCAAACGACCCCAACGCCCTCAGCCATCTAGGCGCCGCTATTGTCGGCAACCAGAAGAAACCGCTGATCGACTGAAATGGAGACGGTCCAACTCTTCACAGTTACAACGACGAACTTATTTAATAATCTCCCCCCGTCTTGATACCGGAGCTCCTAGACGGTAATCCCACAAACGGGGACGGCTGCCGTTACTTTTGCTCCGGGTGCGGAGGCTGGAAGCTCTCCGCAACCACGCTATATCATGACATGTCTTACGATTGCATACATTTTGGAGTTGGTTGCATGGCATTCCTGGAAGGTGGCTGTTTATTCTCTGGACAGAGCAGGGATTGGGGTGTTTGGGCTACCTGTTTAAAGATTTGTGAGAAGTCGAGTATTGCCTTGACTTCTCTCCAGTATCTCCCCGCTGTATACGTGCACTTGGCTATGTTTGGCAATTTGGTTATTTCCACATTGGTTCAGCCATGCATCTGTCCCAATGGTGATATATCCATATATACCCGGGATCTATGGATTTAGGAATCCGGAATCATATATCCTCGTGGCTGTGCAGATTATCACTTGGAATGTAGGACCCTCCGACTGCCAACATATATCGTTTAATTACAATCAGAAATCAATTGATAACGGTATCCAAATCTACTTCTAAAGTACCTTTTGTATTTCGTTTAGAGCTATATTCAAAGTTCAAATATGGTCGTTTATGTTTGATTTGAGGGAGGGACCATGCCGGATATATAAGCACAGTTGGATCCCATTTTATTCTAAAAAAGTATGATAAATCGATTCTCTCAACCGCTTTGTATTTATTATATTATTACAAATTATTTCCCAATTTCTAAAAATCCCATAGCAATGCTTAGCATGTCCGCATCAACCTGGGGTTTGCTCTGCTGTTGGCTTTGGTTCTCAATATCCCGTAGACACTCTTTCAACATTTCAAGTATGGTCTGATACTGCCTCGAGGAGGGTCCAAATGTCTTAAGTGCATTCTCAAGGCTGTTTGATATCTATCTTTGTTATTTCCCGTATTTGGTGGTTGTATTGGGCGATATACCTTGCGCAAACTCTCGTTGTAGTCCACGATATTTTGATCTCTTTCATCCATGTGGTATGCAACAAATATACACTTGTATCTTGAAAATCGGTGCCTGAATTTGTTCAATTGAATTTATCAGGGGCATATATCATCCGATAAAACACGATATATATCTAATTGACCGCTCTCGTCACCGCCTATTTTCAACTGTACGACCTCGTCAATATCCATGCTATACCTAAACACTAACAACCAATTAACAAATACCAATCTCCTCCAAAACCCACGGCCTTTCCACACCATCCCCATCCTTGTCACTAACCGGCTTAGCAAACTCAACCAAAAACCTCACCATCCACTCATCCATACAAAAACTAGTATCAATCGAACTCCTACAAGCCCGATGAAAAGCCTGCAACCGCTCCATACAAACATCAAGCGTCGGCCACAGCGCACGCAGTTTAGTCAGAATAACAAAATTCCTCTCTAGTCTCGCCCGCGCCTTCACAACACTCCCCTCGTCCCCAAAAAGCAATGTGTGGATCTGCACAGTCGACGCAATAACAAGTACATGGCCAACCATATTGTACAGCACGGCGCAGCCGGGGACTTCCTCGGAGCGGTAGATCATCTCGCACAGTCGCACGGCGTGTTCTTTACATTGCTGTGCGTAGAAGTGCGTGCGCGGTGTGTGGTTTCGGATGTCTTCGTGTAGGAATCGATAGAAGAGCATTTGGCCGTAGTTGTAGTAACCTAGGTAGAGGGTTACGAAGAGGTGGCCTTGGCCTTGGGAGGCGTAGGCTTGCAGGTTGGAGGGTGTGTCGTGCATGTGTGCGGGTAGGTTTTTGAGCCAGGTTGAGAGGTTGGTTGAGAGGGTTGAGATGGTGCTTGTTATGTATTCTTCGGTTAGGGTTGTTGTTGCGGATTGGGTGTTGAAGTCGTTGATTTCTGAGAGGATGCGGTTTAGGAGGACCATTTGGGCGAGCAGGGATGAGGTGTGGTCTGGTGGGATTGAGGCTGTGAAGCCTGAGGTGCGTGTCATGGCAAGGAAGGTTGCTTCATTCATTGGGAGGGGGATGTCGGGTTGGGGGATCATTAGACGGGGGAGTCGGACGCCTGTTGAAGACCAGACATCTATCATGCAGAGGGTCCACCATACTATTGGATGTTAGAATTGGTATTTTTGAAGTGTTGAGGAACGAACCTCTTATGTTTACTTCTTGTTCCACATGACTTGCAGCAGGGCAGTTTGGGAGATCAAGGAGTTGGGCAATGCGACATGCAATTGAGTAGTAGATGGTTTCCGAGGCAGGGTTTCTTCCATCTACTACAGCGATGGCGCCGAGCAAAACACAAACTTGGATTGTTGTCAAAGAAACATCATTCAAGTTGAGTAATTGTTCACATCTTTTTGCATATTGTTTCCCCCTTTCTCGAGGATCGGTTTTTGCAAAAAATGAATGATTTGAAAATCTACCCGAGTTAGCAAGTTCACTCGGGCCGAGTTGAAGACATACCGTGCCGATAATGCGAGGATCCCGTAGATTAAATTCTCCGGCGCTTGACCCCGACGTATGTCTTCCACCAGACTTGGCCGATGGAAGAGTGAATGAAATTTATCATGCACATAATCAAAATACAGCTCCACCAGTTCATTACAGATGTCTTGATCCGGTAAGGAGTTTTCGGGAGATACAATGCCGATGACTTCTTCTGGTACGGACGTTTCTTTCGGCACGGAGATCTGTTTCCGACTACACGGCAGATTCCGGGCAGAGCAATACACGCATGAACGACCAGGTGCCGGAATGACGCATTTCCGTCGACGTTCACTTGGCGCATGAGTATGGGGTCTGTTGGGAGGGTATGAATCACTCACCGGCATACTGAACAGGCCTTTGCTAGTCTCATTTCTTCCAAATGCAGAAGGTCATTTGCGAGATCACTGATGAGATTGAGGATTTAGCAAACTGCGTCGGGATTGAAAAGTTCAAAACCAATGAGCGAGCCCCAAACCCGCCTAGGACACGGAGTATCGGAGTATCCCCGGAGTTGTCTCCGCATTTTGACTCCACAATATCAAACCCCAGTATATACAAATATCTGGAGTATCGCCGAAGTTTTGTCGATCTGCATTTGACTAGTTAAAGTTCTGCAGATTTGTAGAACTTTACTGCAGTTGAACTGCAGTTGAGACATATTCTAGGTTCTACTAGGTCATTGAGATCTACATGGTTTATCCCCCTTTGATGCAACCTCCCCCACAACTCGGGGTAAAAAAAAAGATATAAAAAGGTACGTGATTCCCAGGTTTTGGACTATCTATCGAAGCACAGCTAAAATGGTTCAACTAACAAGGGGTGTTGTGGCCGCAGGCCTTAATCTCCTTGCATATTCCTCTGGTGTGATGGCCGAGGGATCAGCAAAGCGTGGGTCTTCTCCTTCTCTTTTCAAATTCAAACCCTAACGATATGTCATATAGCAATTGTGGCAGATGGTACTATATTTGCTCTCAATGGAGACAATGTTTCGTATCGCATTCATGTGGATAACACCACCGGTGATCTTCTAGGGGACCACTTCGGTGGGTCCGTTGGAGCCAATATTCCTCTAGAAACTGTTGGTGAGGTCAATGGCTGGGACGGTCACATTGGACGTGTACGCCGCGAGTTCCCAGACCAAGGTCGTGGGGATTTCCGGGTCCCTGCCATTAGCATCCGTCAATCAGAAGGATATACCGTGTCTGAATTTCACTACAAATCACACAAGATCATCCCCGGCAAGCCTGCTCTGACTGGGCTACCATCCACTTTTGGCACAGAAGAGGATGTTAGCACCCTAGTCATTAGTATGTACGACAAGTACAGCGATGTGGCCGCGGACCTCTCATACTCGATCTTCCCCAAACATGATGCCATTGTGCGCAGCGTGAATGTTACAAACCACGGAAAGCAAAATATCACAATTGAGTCTCTGGCCAGTTTGAGCGTGGATTTGCCGTACCAAGACTTGGACATGATCGGCCTTCGTGGAGACTGGGCAAGAGAAGCATATCGCGAGAGGCGAAGAGTCGCATACGGCGTCCAAAGCTTTGGAAGTTCCTCTGGTTACTCTTCCCACCAGCATAATCCTTTCCTGGCTTTGGCGGAGCCCTCTGCCACCGAGTCTCACGGAGAGGTATGGGGATTCTCGCTTGTGTACACTGGTTCATTCTCCGTGAACGTCGAGAAAGGCTCACAGGGCTTTACCCGTGCTCTTCTGGGTTTCAATCCTGGCCAGCTCTCGTGGACTCTGCCCCCTGGTGAGACTCTTTCCTCCCCGGAGTGTGTCTCTGTATACTCCAAGGATGGTCTCGGTGGAATGTCACGCTCGCTGCACCGCTTGTACCGCAACCATCTCATCAAGAGCAAGTTTGCCACTAGTGATCGTCCCACATTACTGAACAGTTGGGAAGGACTGGTTTTCGATTATAACCAGAGCACCATCTACGAGCTGGCAAAGGAAGCCGCTGAAGTCGGCGCTAAGCTTTTCGTCCTGGATGATGGCTGGTTCGGCAAGGAATACCCACGTCTCTCAGACGATGCAGCACTAGGCGACTGGATCCCAAACCCTGATCGATTCCCAGAAGGCCTGGAGCCACTTGTGAAGAGTATCACAGATCTGAAGGTCGCTAATACATCAAAGAACTTGCGCTTCGGTCTCTGGTTCGAGCCGGAAATGGTCAGTCCGAACTCGACTCTGTACCATGAGCACCCGGACTGGGCCTTGCATGCAGGAGACTACCCTCGCACCGAAAGACGCAACCAGCTCGTGCTGAACCTCGCTCTTCCTGAAGTCCAAGACTTCATCATCAAGGCCGTCTCGGATGTTCTCAAGAGTGCGGATATTAGTTACGTCAAGTGGGATAACAACAGAGGTATTCACGAGATGCCTTCCCCATCCACAAGCCACGCCTACATGCTCGGTCTGTACCGCGTTTTCGATGAACTCACAGCCCAATTCCCCGATGTTCTCTGGGAGGGTTGTGCTTCAGGTGGAGGCCGCTTCGACCCAGGTGTTCTGCAGTACTTCCCCCAGATCTGGACTTCGGATAACACAGACGCTGTCGACCGTATCTCCATTCAACTGGGTACTTCGCTCGCCTACCCGCCCAGCGCGATGGGCGCTCACTTGTCCGAAGTGCCGAACCAGCAGACTGGCCGCACAGTCCCCGTTGCTTTCCGTGGACATGTTGCGATGATGGGTGGCTCGTTTGGATTGGAACTTAATCCGGCTGAGATGCCCGAAGAGGAGAAGGAGGCTGTGCCGGAGCTCGTTGCTCTCGCTGAGAAGGTGAACCCCATTATTCTTACTGGTGATATGTGGCGGTTGAACCTTCCAGAGGACTCGAATTGGCCTGCTGTTTTGTTCATCGCTGAGGATGGTCAGAAGGCTGCCTTGTTTGTCTTCCAGGTCGCCCCGAATATTAATCATTCATGGCCGCGCATTAGGTTGCAGGGTTTGGATGCGAAGGCTTCCTATAAGATTGATGAGGGTGTGGTTTACTCTGGTGCAACTTTGATGAATATTGGTCTGCAATTCGCCTTCAAGGGTGACTATGGCAGCCAAGTTGTGTTGTTGGAAAAGCAATAGAGAGCTACATTGTATAGGCTAGTCATGTTTAAGAGGCTGGGGCAGCAGTCATGCTGATAGAATTAGGTTAATTGAATATAAACCGTTGAATTATTGGAAAATCGGGCCCTAACCAGGAGATTTTCTAAGAGGGAACGATCACTTTGTCGAACATTCCTAAACCTAGCCCATGTCTCAGGTTCTTCCGGGGTAAATGAGGGAAAACACCGAAGCGGCTCAGCTCTATAAGCACAGCATAAGCACAACATAGAGCGGATCGGACTGAAGCGGCTCGGAGGCTGACGTCGGGTCGGATTCCAACCGACAGGTATATATAGATCAACCCTTCCTAACGCTCTTGGAACTACTAGACTTCTGTTTTATTGCGCCTTGTAAAATCCCGGAAGCATCTGCCTCATTACTTGTCACAATTGCTCTTGAAGTCATATAAATCTCAATTTCTGATATCAGGTCCAAGTGCGGTTTACAACGTCTAATTCAGCCCGCGCCTCATAAATTCCATTCAATACGAGCTAGGGTTGCCTATACGCCTTACCGAGGGTTAGACAATATGTCAAACATAAGTTCTCATTTCCAGAACAGCCCCGATGCTGAAGGATATTTTGGTCGATTTGGCGGCAACCACTATCCCGAAGAACTTCGATCCGCGCTTCTGGAATTGACCAACAGCTATCAGGAGCTTCGTCAATCATCGGAATTCCAGAGTACCCTGAATAAGGTACGGGTCGGACTTCAAGGGCGGCCGACACCAATACAGCACCTCGAAAATCTCTCAAACCAAGTCGGGGGCGCTCAAATCTTCATCAAAAGGGAGGACTTGAATCATACAGGCGCACACAAGATCAACCACTGTGTTGGCTTCGCACTACTCGCCAAACGAATGGGCAAGAAGAAACTAATTGCCGAGACGGGAGCCGGCCAGCATGGCGTCGCACTTGCAACCGCAGCAGCCTATTTTGGCCTCGAATGCGAAGTGCACATGGGAGAAGTTGACATTGGCAAACAAAGCTCTAATGTTGGAAAGATGCAGCTACTCGGGGCACGCGTGGTGTCAGTAGCGACTGGCCAGTCTGCTCTAAAAGACGCCAGTGATTCTGCATTCAACGCGTACGTCGAGCAGCACGGACACGCGCTTTATGCCATCGGCTCGGCTATTGGTCCACACCCCTTCCCAATGATTGTTCGAGACTTCCAGGGTGTAGTTGGTCAAGAAGCGCGCGAGCAATTTATTTCCATGAATGGAAGCTTACCTGAGCATGTGGTTGCCTGCGTTGCTGGCGGTTCCAATGCGATGGGTATATACACGGGCTTTATTGACGATCCGGTTGTTCTACATGCAGTGGAGCCTCTTGGAAGATCTGATGAGCTAGGTCAACACGCGGCAACGCTATCATATGGAAGACCGGGTACATTGCATGGTGCTCGATCGATTGTGCTTCAGCAGGATGATGGTACCCTTGCCAGTGTCTCATCTGTAGCATCAGGTCTCGCATACCCTGGCGTTGGCCCGGAGATTGCGATGCTTCATGAAGCCGGTCGGCTATCAATCGCTGGAATTTCGGACGAGGAAGCTGTCAATGCGTTCTTCCGGATGGCAAAATTCGAGGGTATCATTCCTGCGTTGGAAAGCGCACACGCATTGGCCTTTGCGATCCGATTGGCGTCGCAGCGGCCTTCATCCGAACGAATACTGGTCAATCTCTCAGGGCGTGGTGACAAGGACGTTGATTACGTGCTTGCGAACTACACCTGGGCAGGCTAGGGTGTACTATACCTGAAAAGCAGTTCACGTTTGTAGCAGGCTGTGTGTTTGCGACTATTGTACTCGGGCGGTTTATGCCATATATACAGGAAACCCATATATACTTTTACCTTGCTTTCCTTCCTACAATACCACCTGCGGATCTCACGATATAGTGGTGTTTGATAAAACAAAAGAACTCCCCGGGCCCGCATAGAGATATTATTCTGCCGAAAGAACCCGCTTATCGATAAGCGCATCTTTTCTGATCTCCCTCCTCTGACTCTGAAATTCCCTCTAATTTATTCTTAAAATTCAACCATGGCTGACGTAGACGAGGAGGCAATTCAGGCCCCTGCAAATGCCTCTACAGAGGATGTTGACCTGTCCGACGAGACGCAGGACTTCCGCTTCTTGAACCACTTAAATTTGTATGACCATGGCCTATTCCTCTAACATGGCAAACCCAACCGCCAGTGTCCTCGATGACTTCTGAATCACCATTGCTTACCTTCAATCTCTTTATAGCTTCGCCGATTCATCCCCCGGCATCCCGCGCCGCGGCGAAAAGGACTTTGAGCCCAATCCGACAGAACTTCAAGCCGATGTACTCTCCGCTTCGCGAGGTGCCATGCACAATGCGCTCTCATACCCCCGTCTTCACAGCGCCAAAACTCGTATCATAGCTTTCTACGCACCCGAAGGTTACGTCCCTCCAGTTAAAACCGATAGTGCGACACCGAAAGCTAGCGGAGAAGACGAAAAGAGCTCGGAGTCTACCCCCAAACCCGCAAGGCCTTTGCCTAATTCCGCCAAGATATCCCCCGACGCATGTGTCTATGTGCCCAACCCCAAGGGCCAGTTCTTCAAGTCAATGGGCCAGGCAGACTCGTCAAGCCGTGTCTGGCTGTTGCCCGAGGAAGCCTTATATCTTATTGAGCGAGGAAGTCTGGATATCAGATGGCCTAGCCCATCTGGGTCAGAAGAAGACCTCTCCGTCCCTATGAGCTTGCAGGCTGCATATACATGCTTCATGGGCCGCGGTGGTCTAACGCTTGAGCGGTACTCCGTTTATACCGGTCTCAGGCGTCTGGGATATGCACTAATTCGAGCTCCTGGATGGTGCGATGACATTGAGAAGGAGGATACGGATGTCTCAGAGGCTAGTGAAATAACACCAACCAAGCATCATGGCCCCGGCCTGGCTGGTATGCTTGGATCACTTTTCAATTGGATCCATGACCCTCGCTCGACGGCCTCTACAGCAACTGGCCCTATCATCGGCACTGGCATCCACCGTCATTACAGTGAGTCGCGCATTTCTCTCCGCGGTAATTATCCTAGCTCTCGTTACTGACAACCCTTAGTGGATGTATACCGCAAACTCGCCATCATCCCCTGGTACGACCCAGCCACCGCGCCCGAAAGACACCCCGCGGATACCACACCACCATTCCGCGTCGTGTTCCACGTCTATAAGCCCTCAACCCCCTTCAAAAAGTCCGCACCTCCACCTCCAGACTTCCGCGTTGCGGTCGTCAGCACACGGGACCAAACCACTATGCCCACTATGACACAACTCGGTGCTTTGCTCGAAAGCACCCCACTTGACCCCCCGACTGGGGTGAAAATGCAAAATATGATGTACATGAGACTTCGGCATGGATACCGCAATGTCGTCCTGGCTGTCGTTGATCAGGGTGTGGTCAGCTACTTGCGGATTGCTGATTCCGCGTTCGGGAAAGAGAAGCTATATGAGAACAAGGGTGGACCCCAGGGTCCTAAGCGGAATCGTGCAAATCAAAAGTCGAAAAAGCGTTGAGGAACTCGGGGTATCAGTTCATGCCCTGATCGATTACATCTCCGTCACTGGAGAGTGTATGCAAAGGTGAAGACAGCAATACCTTCAAATGAAGTGCTGTTTGTGTATCAGGACTGTGCACAGACTATGGACCTGGCCCATGTCCATCTCATATCTCTGCTCGGTGGTGAATCACATCGAGAGCTGAAAATGCTCTCCGCGGTTGGAGCAATTGTGGTTATTCTTGTGAGGATATCCTGCCTTGTTCACGGCACTTCAACAAACACTTCCCTCTCATTTCGGGCCCGGTCTGCCTATACATATCGGAGTGAAAATCTGCATGTCCCATACCACGACATTGAAATGCCTCAGCTCCCATTAAAATAATGACCCAGCTTGCCAGTTTATACATACTCTCTGGGCCATTGAAGTACCAAAATATTTACATAGTTGGATACTACTCATTGAGATCTATAACAATAGAACTGCATCATAAATCATAAAATGGTTCTGAGTAACATTTCCACGAATTCAACAAGTACCTAGAGTTTGCATATGCAATGCAAATCACCCAGCACATAGCAAATCCCATCCCCAACTCACAGTCTATACATCTCACTCTTACTCCTAGCCCCATCAAAGATGCAAGTATTATCAAGCGGACCATACTGTCTAGTTATCACCTTCAACGCCTCCTGCGCAACCAAACCTCCCGTCAACGAAGAGATATTATGCAACTCGCCGCCCTGAGCCCGACGCAATTCCTTACTCGCACTGGCAATCCGCGCCCGCGCCTCCTGAGAAACAGCCGATCCATCCGCCGCAGTCAACAAAGCCAAGATACGTTCCGTATGGCTATTCCACAGCGCATCGTCATCAACAGAGCGGTCCTCTTCCCGACCGCTGCTTTGGATCTCATCCACGACAGAGTCGAGGATCTGCATCGCAATGAATATCAAAATTAGGTTGTCCGGGTCCGTTAGCGCGTTGCGTACGGTTTTCAATGTTGATGCCTCGCTGTCGATGCTTATCTGTGGGATATCCCGACCGAGGACGACTTTAATGTGTGCGGCGTTCTTGCAGAATACTTCGATGTCTCGATCTGGGATTGCGGTTTGGCGTTGGAGCTTGGATTCGAGATCGCGGACTGTGGCGGTTACTTCTTCCACGTCTTGGCGTGCTTTGGCTTTGTAGATATTTTGGAGGGACACGTAGTCTGCGGATTGGGCTTTCATGTCTGGTAGGGAGCCTGGGAGGGGGAGGACGTTGTGGGATGCGTAGAAGGTTTTTATTGCTGAGGCTATCACCCAGAAATCTTCTGATGAGGCTGATAGCTCTTGACACTGGGTCATTTCGAAGATCTCGCGGATCGAGCTTCGGAGGCTGAATGGGGTGATTGTCTTTAGGACTGCGGCGACTGCTTCGTCGAAGTTCTCTTCGCCGCCTTCTGGGTTTGAAGTGCGTGTCTGGGATCGCACGAACTCTCTGAACTCGGTTTTCTCTTTGTAGTTGCTGGGTGCGTTGCCGTCGTGAGACTGTTTCCATTGCTCTAGGAAGTGGAGCAGGAGGAGTACGTAGGGCACATGGCCGTGCTGGTGGTCATCCATGGTGTCCAGATTATCGAGTTTGGCTGCGGCGGCGACAAGCTCGGGCCAAGGGTTTAGCAGACGCAGGTCCTGGGTTGATTCCGGGTCCGGATGTGTCTCAACAATGGGGAATTCAGCTGGCAATTGCACAGAGAATTTAGAGAAGAACCCGACTGAGTGCAGGTACAACACGGGGATACCCAGTTGCTTTGCTTCCTGGATCAGAGGTACCACTGTTGAGCGTCTCATTGGGCCAGAAATAATTACCAGCTTGGTCTGGGGTAAGAAGTTAGGGTCTTCAAGAAGCTCCCCAATCCGCTGTTTATAAAGTCAGTCGATGATCGTCTACTCCTGTAGACATGGATATCATACTTGGTCATAGTAATATCCCTCCACTCCTGGATTCAGTTCTTTCAGAAGTCGGCAGGTTTCCTTGGCGCGGGACTTGCCCAGAGACTCTTCTTCCAGGAAGAAGTTAACGCCTAAATCAGACTCCGTAACTATTGCTGGGTCGACGATGGTGAAGCCACCGATTCCAGGCAGTACAAGGTTCTTGAGGGTTTCCACGCCAGCAACGCCGGAGACACCGGTATTGTATTGGCCGAGTGGGCCATCAGAGTTCACCAGCAGGACATGAGAGTCTTCAAGTTCTTGCTGACCAGTTGCTGCCCACAGGCGGAGCTGGCGGTCATATTTGCGCTCCTTCGAGGTTGGCCCTGTCAGGGCGGCGGGGAAAGCATCTGTCATGGTGGATATCAAGTAGTGCGGGGGAGAGGATAGAGCTTTGTTTTGAGGCTCAAATCATTGCCCATTTATCGGTTTGTGATGCTTGTCGTGTTGCTTACACTATTTGCTCAATAATGAAAGTTCTCCAAATGATGAAGTCGTGGATGTCGACTTGTTGATGCGCGACTATTTTTAGTAAGCGCCATGTGAGGCCTGATAATCAAGGCGACCACGGACATTTCATAGTTCGGGCTTCTGATTTTTCTTACATTCATTTACTAGACATTGAATGTTCTTATTTTAGAATTGCAGATGAGTTGATTCTTTCTTAAATCCCACAAATGAGTCCTTTGACAATCCTAGTAAAAAGGCTGCCACGGGTCATACGCTACTTATCTCTGTGTTTCAGAGGAACATTTGAATTCATTAAGACTGTCAATATGAGTATCGAACTGACATCCAAATCTTAGGAATGATACAAGGAGAGATCGAATCTCCAGCACACCCTCGATGTCGAAATGGAACAACATGGGATCAACATGGTTGTGGTACCCTTTTGCGAAGAACAATAGTAAGGCAAGCTACATTGTACATTGATCTCCATGTCAAAGACAAAGCTGAAAGGGAACCTCAGCCTAGACTTTAGTGGCCTACTCTATAGAATATTTATACCATCCATTGCCCCAATTTCACCATGTATTCAGTCACCAGTATACTCTTCACTACACCTACAGGATGAAGTTGACCATTGTTGTCCTCGCCTTTGCTACGCTCGCACATAGCTTAGTTAAGGAGCTGCCTGGCTGTGCCTTTGCCTGCTTGGACACAATGACCCAGACAACGAGCTGCGTAAAGAATGACTGGAGCTGTCTCTGCTTGCACCAAGATATGATTGAAACGGCTGGCGCAGACTGCGTGGATCAGAAGTGTGGCCCGACTTTTGCTGAGAGTACGGTCTTCTTTGTATACGAACATGATTAAGCTAATTGATTTTATAGACGCGTTTTTACCCGCTGTTAAGAAGATCTGCAAGAAATAGCCCTTCTCATGTCGACATGGAAACTTCCAGTCTTCACTTGTCTGTCTTTTCTGGTTTCAATGTGATTCCTAGGTGAAGTGTGGAAATTTTATAAAGGGACATAGCCTCTACGCTAAGTATTTTCAAACAAATAAAGAGTATAGGTATTTAAATGTATTTCCTATATAAGATGGTAGACATACTAGAAATTAAAATGCGCTAAGATATAGAAACTATAACGTGACGTGACGTTATAGACTAACATTATTCTATTTTCATTCTAATTTCTTTAGTATACTCTCCTTCCTCACATTGCAAGCCCCTCTATAAAAAAAGGGTTCCCATGATCCAATCGGTCTCCCCTCTTTTCCTCTGCCGTAGACTTACCCTCCCCACCATCCCCACATTCTTTCGCCAAAGTCCCAGACTCCAATCCACCATGTCCGCCGTCGAAGAATCCAAGCGCGCCGCCGCAAAGGTCGCTGTCGGAAACCACTACCCCAAGGATGCCCGCTGGGTCGGTATCGGCAGTGGTACGACAATCGTGTACGTGGTCGAGGCCATCAAGGCCCTCGGCGTCGACACCTCCGCCACGAAGTACATCCCTACCGGATACCAGTCAAAGCAGCTGATTGTCAACGCCGGATTGACCGCTGTCGAGTACAATGCCCTTCCCCGCGGCACTATCCTCGACGTAGCGTTCGATGGAGCGGATGAGGTCGACGAGGATCTGAACTGCATCAAGGGCGGTGGTGCATGCTTGTTCCAGGAGAAGATCGTCGCTATGCAAGCTAAGGAGTTTATCTGTGTCGCCGGTGAGTTGTGATCCGATCTATGATTTTACTTCATTTTGCATTGCTATGGGGTTTGAGTTGGATGACTCGGAAGTAGAACCTCTGGTTTTTTTTTCCTTTTTCTTTGCTATGACAATACTACACCCCAACTAACCCACGCAATTTCAGATTTCCGCAAGCTTCAACCCCGTCTCCTTACAAACTGGAAGTCAATTCCTATCGAGGTCGCCCCCATCGCCGCTTACCGCGTTATCCGTAAGCTGGAGGAACTCGGCAGTGTCGACCCCGCCATCCGCGCATCCGCAACCGCCAAGGAAGGTCCCCTCAAGACTGATCAGGGCTTCTTCATTATCGATGCTCCCTTCAAGCCCTTGCTGATCAAGGCTGATATCGAGGCTGGCCAGGATGGTAGTGGCAAGGATGGTGTGTGGGCGGTTGATGTTTTGGCTCGCAAGATCAATGAGATTATCGGTGTGCTTGAGGTCGGTATTTTCCAAGGCCTGACCGGCCCCCAGGCTTCTGCTGCCGGTGATTTTGGTGGTCAGCGGCCTGTTGCAGCCTACTTCGGTATGGCTGATGGGTCGGTCTCTGTTCGCAAGGCCCAGTAGATGTATAGTGGTTGGACTTTGGACTTTACATGAGACTACGTAAATAACTTGGATACCAAGATTCTGGTTTTAAAGCTTGGAAAATATACTACTAGAATTGGAAATTGAACTAGTGAATACTTGCGATTGTGTTTTGGATTTTTTTTTTAAATTAGATTTCATGGGTGGTATCAACATTGGACAGACGCTTCATTTCAGTGTAGAATCAAGGAAAAAGACAACCTTTCCCGGACCTATTTTGTGCTTTTACCCTTGGCTTCCGTCTCGCCCAGCTCTCGTAGGTAAATCTTCACTGTGCCTTGGGGAACCTCATCATGGCCGTCTTCGAAGCCAGGGCTGACTGCAATAGCCAGATACTGGCCGCTTGCACTAAACGCAACAGCTGAGACGCTGTGTTGGTATTTCTGATATTGACGGATACGGCGCTTGGAGATTCCATCCCAGAGCGCAACAACACCATCACCGCCGCCGGAGGCAAAGGTGCCAAAAATAGGGTGGAAAGCCAATGCATTGACAGGGTAGACAACGTCCACGCCATCCTCCGCAGTCTGGCGATGGCACTTGAAAGCGTATTTGCGGGCCTGTGATTCGGGCGATGGGTCAAACCACTCGACCGCGACACGACCTTCAATGCTAGAAGATGCGTAACCAGCATCATCGGGCATACAGGCAACGGCACGGGTCATAAACTTCAAGCTGCTTTCCCGACGCTGCCAGGGCTCAACTTCGACTCGGTTATTGCCTGGAATTGTGCTATCTGCTTGCGCAGCAAGAAGGGCCAGCGCCTTGAGGTCGTAGATGTGCAATGCGCGCGATGCCATCGCGACGACCAGCTTCGTGGCGGTTGCGGAGATTGAGAATGGCTTCGATGGGAGGGGGACGGTGATTGGGAGGGAGTCGGGGTTTGCACCAGCATCTGGTCGGTGGATGTGCAGTGTTGAGTCCCACGAGGCGGAGATGACGATGTTGTGCTCGCGGCTGTACAGGACATGGCGCACGCCGGCTTCGTGGCTGCTGAGCACGGTCTGTTCGGAGGTGTTGAGGTCGATCCTAATCAGTCAGTATAATGATTATGACAGTAGCAGCAATAAATTTGAATAACTCACTTCCTCACGTCCCAGTCTAGTCCAGCTGTGTAGATCTCGTTCTCGTTCTCGCCGAAACAGACATCCAGCACAGGAGCGCGGTGCTCAAACTTCTGCAATTGCTTTCCCTCTCCAATTTTTCCGTTCTCATCCCGCAACTCATACAGGTACACATTCTTATCCCACGACGAAACGGCAATCCGCGTGGAATTGGGGTCTGGGGAGAACTTCAAGGCCGAGATAGCATCCGTCGGTGGGGACGCCATGGTAAATTGGTCTGCAATAGTAAATTAGACAAAGTTCAAATGTGGGGGAAGATAATAACCATAACTACTCACGAGACGTCATATTGGGCAGGTGCAGAGTTGTTGAACGTCAAACCCCAAGCTCTCCGGGGCCTTTGGCCGTATCCTTTTCTGCCATCCTCACCGCCCTCTGATTCCCCGCGCTACATCGATAAGGGAAAAAAAAGCCCAAACGGCTTGACATCATTTCTTTTCAAAACAAAACTTCTCGCATCTTCGTGATATTGACAAAATGCCCTTTGCCCAGCTGGTGATTGGTCCACCGGGCGCTGGCAAGTCTACGTACTGCAATGGCATGCATCAGTTTCTAGGTGCAATCGGCCGGAAATGCTCTGTCGTCAACCTTGACCCCGCCAACGACAAGACCTCATATCCATGCGCGCTGGACGTACGTGACCTAGTTACTCTGGAGGATATTATGGAAGAGGACAAGTTGGGTCCGAATGGTGGTGTCTTATATGCTCTGGAAGAGCTCGAAAACAACTTCGACTGGCTGGAAAACGGGCTGAAGGAGCTTGGCGGTATGTCTGATCTGTCCTGGCTGTAGACAGTTACTGACCAGTTCTGATGAATTATTAGATGATTATATTCTTTTTGACTGCCCTGGCCAAGTCGAGCTATTCACACATCATGCCTCATTACGCAACATCTTCTACAAGATCCAGAAGATGGGCATTCGGGTTAGTCGCAGTAGAACCTCAAGCGCAACAAAAAGAGACCTCAGCTAACCAGCCTGTGGAACAGTTGATTGTCATTCATCTCGTTGATTCCTATACCCTTACCCTACCCTCAATGTACATCTCCGCCCTCCTCCTCTCCCTCCGCGCTATGCTCCAACTCGACCTCCCACATCTAAACGTCCTCACCAAAATCGATAACCTCGCCAACTACGCCCCACTCCCTTTCAACCTAGACTACTACACCGAAGTACAAGACCTGTCCTACCTACTCCCGGAACTAGAAAGCGAGTCCTCGCGATTCTCACATGAGAAATTTGGCAAACTAAACCAGACCATCATCGACCTGGTCGAGGAATTCGGACTCGTTGGATTCGAGACGCTGGCCGTCGAGGACAAGAAGAGTATGATGAGTCTACTGCACGCCATTGACCGTGCGTCCGGGTATGCCTTTGGTCCCGCTGAAGGCGCCAACGACACTGTCTGGCAAGTGGCTGTTCGGGAGGGCATGGGCACCACAGATGTGCGGGATGTGCAGGAGCGCTGGCTAGATGCCAAGGATGCATATGATGAGCAGGAGGAGAAAGATTTGGAGGAGGAAGTGCGTATACGCAATGCAGCAAGCCAGGTTGAGAAGACCGGTGCGGCGGATGGCGGAGAGGACGAGGATGACTATGACAAGGATGATGGACATGACTACGACGAAGAACTGGAGAAGTGGAAGAAGGATATGCCAGACAGTGGCGTGCGGGTACGCCGCAAGTAATCCTATTCCAACTTCCCAGCCAAACGTAAAATATACGATAAATGTACGATAGCCGAAATAACCATAACCTAACGCACCAAAAACTGGGGTATCTCATTAAAAGTTAAACAGAAACGTACAATACAACACCTACCAACCTTAACCTCAATCTCAATCATCACTACCCATCCCCTCATCCTCACTATCATCCATAACACAATCAACAACACCCCCAACCAACCCCCCAAGAACCCCCTTCTCCTCCGCATCCTTAACCCTAACAATCTCCCTCCTAGCCCTCCGAATAGCCTCCTCCTCAGCCTTCCGCATAGTCCCCGAAACCCGAATCACGCGGAAAACACACCCACGCTCGCGTCCCGTGCCCGCGCGTTTCGGCCCATTACCCGGCTCCGGCACGCCGGACATATACGTAAGAGCTGACCAGACAAGACGGAAAGAGGCACGCGGACACCGCACTATCGCGGTTGATGTTGCTGGCGAGAGGTATTTTACTATTGTGTGTTTAGTGAGTGGCTGTTTTTGGGGGAATAGTTTAATTGGATATGAGGTCGAAAACATACTCGTTATTCCGCCTGCAGTTGCACCGCCTAGCTTGCCGATTCCCCAGTCGCCGTATAGCTCTGCGACGGAGTCCCGAATCATCTTGGCTAGGAAGCCTTGGGTTAGGGCGTCGGAGGTTGGGGAGTGGATTGCTAGTTGGGGGTTATGTGGTTTTGTTGCTGGGGTTGTGGGCCAGGTTTTTGGGTCTGGGTAGAGGATGTCCACGAGAAGGTAGCGGTTCTTGAGGCGGACCATGGTGTGGTTGTATTAGGTTGGTGGTGGTGTTGGGTTTGGATTGGGGCGGATAAGAGGAGATGTCTTGGAAGCAGTACAGATAGGGTACTGTATGGCTCGTTGGGTTATATGAGAGCTGGACGTAGATGTGATTTGCTGGGTAGAGAATGTAAGGTGGGTGAATCTTGAAGCTGAGGAGGGCTAGAAAAGATTGCGATAAACGATAAGGATATTTCCTAATCGGGCGCACGGCCCATCAGGACAACCTTGGCAGGGCCCTCAGGAGGAATACAGAATGGCTCAGCTTGGAATACTTCAACGAAAAATTCTACCAACTACGCTGAAAAGCATATCATGCGGCAAAGGCACGTTCATTATTTCCCAAAGAGGTCTAGTCATCTACTGCAAAACGAATTAAATCAGATCTGTAGCCGGGTTGCACCCTTCTTGAGTGTCAACCCGTCAACTTGGTCATGCCACATGAACGCAGTACATCGATACACATGACTGCTCAGAAAACATAAAAAAAGAAAAACCAAGGGATGAACCATCCGAACTCCACCGCCCTGAACGGACGGACTATATGCCAGCGGACGGCGCTGCAAAACGTCATAAACAAAATCACAGGTTGACCTCGACACGGCCCTCGGCACCGCCCTTCTGCAGGGTGGGGAGGAGGTAGGTGATGTCGTCCCAAGGGTGACGGTAGAGACCGGTGCGCAGACGCTTCTGGTCGAGGTAGTGGGCAATGAGACCGATGGAACGGCCGAGCACGAACAGACCGTTGAGGACACCCATGCGCATGTAGTCCTCGCACTCCTCGGGGGAGAAGGCACCGCAGTTGCGGAGGAGGTCAACGAAGCAGACAGCGACACAGCCGTCGACGTTGAGGATCAGGTTGTCCTTCTTGGAGGTGGTGACGGTCTCAACGGCAATAGCGTAGTCGAGCAGCTTGGTGCTGGGGAAGTGCTTCTTGACGAACTCCTTGACAAGCTCGACACGGAGATCGGGGTTGTTGCGGGACTTGACCTTGTGGCCAATACCGGGGATAAGCTTGTTCTCCTTGCGCATGCTGTCAACGAAGTCACGGGGGCTCAGACCCTTGTCGAACGCCTTGGTGAACTCCTCGGCGGCGCCATCCAGGGCACCACCGAAACGAGAACCAATGGTCAAAAGACCGGAAACGAGAGCACTGATAAGATCCTTGCCAGCACGGGTGGTGATGATGGTGTTCATGGCACCGGAGACGGCAGGACCGTGATCGGCAGTCAGCATGAGAACCATCTCGAGGAACTTGCTGGCGTAGGGAGGCAGGCGGCGACGGAACCACAGAAGAGACATGACACCACCAATGCCAATATCCTCTCTGAAGACATCGGAGATAGGCATACCG